TTTCGTTTACAATGTGGTACTCGACAGGGTTGTCCGTTAAGTCCCGCCTTGTTCATTTTAGCCTTGGAGTCTTTATCAGTTGCCCTCAAAGCGTCGTCACAGATTTAGTGTATATCACGCTATGGTGTAGAGTTTCACTATACGCAGACGATCTTCTGTTGTTCATTAGTCATCACCAATCCTCAATTTCAGCAATCCAATCTATTTTAAAGGAATTCAGCTCTTTTTCAGGGTATAAACTAAATTTTGAGAAAAGTGAATTTTTCCCTCTAAATTTTCCCTCATGTCAGGTAGATCAGACAAGTATTCCTTTCCGTTTGGCCCCAGACGGCTTTAGATATCTTGGTATTAATATCACTTGTTCTTTATCTTCCATTCAAGAGGCTAATTATACTCCCCTAATGTCATCCATGAAGGAGAACTTTCAGAGATGGAGCAATCTTCCCCTTTCGCTTACAGGTCGAATTCAAAGTGTTAAAATGAATATTCTCCCTAAATTCCTGTTCTTATTTCAATGTCTTCCTGTGTGCTTACCTAAGTCTTTTTTCAAGACTCTTGACAAGGCTATTATAACTGACTATTATAAATGACTCTCCAGAGGCCCAAAGTTGAAGGGGGTTTGGCCCTCCCTAATTTTCTATTTTATTATTTTGCAGCCAACATTCATAAGATCACATTCTGAATTCGATCACTAGACACCAATTGGTGTGTTTTGGAATCACTATCATGCCAGTCCACATCTCTGAATGCCTTTTCTTCCCTTCCATTGTTCCCCTCTCAACATTCTTCTAACCCTTTAGTTGTAGCTATGCTGAAGATTTGGGTGACCCCCTGATTTGGCTTGGGAAAAGTTTTTTACTCTGCCTGTTAATTCAAGAGGGATAATCTCACTTATCTATAACAGAATCTTGTCTCTTATTGATTGACCCTTGACAAACAGGTCTGGGTGGGAATTGGAGCTCGGTGGGGAGCTGGACGAGGACTCGTGGCCCAAACCTTTAAAAAAGATAAATTATTCCTCTTCCTGCCCTCGTCTGAATTTGATACAGTTCAAACTGGTCCATAGAGCATACTTTTGCAATGCTAGATTGGCAGGCATTTACCCAGGGGTAGACCCATCATGCCCTCGTCGTGGTGGAACACCTGCCAACTTGTTACACATGTTCTGGGCCTGCAGAAAGCTTGAGAGGTTCTGGTCTGCTGTTTTTACTTCACTAACTGAGGCCTTCAAATGCAACATAATCCCCTGCTCATTGCCTACATTATTTGGGGTCCTAGCAGAATCTCTCTTTTCCAAGCCCCAAGTAGCTGAGGCAGTTGTCTTTGCCCTCCTCTTAGTTAAGAGAAGGATCCTTTTGGCGTGGAAATCCACCACCCCACCCTCACACGCTCTATGGCTAACTGATGTCATGTTTTTCTTGGACTTGGAAAAGATTAAATTTAGCCTGAGAGGTACTGCAGACATATTTGACCGGATCTGGCAACCATTCATCTCCTATTTTAAACGCCTATCTAACTTAAATACAGACTAGAGGACGTCCTTATCCTCTTTATTTACTTTTTTTTTTATTATTTTTTATTCAGGGTTAGGTGGGAAGGGTGAAAAGGGTGAGTATGGTGGGAAGGGTGAATAGGGTGGAAAGGGTGAGTAGGGTGGGTTAGGGGGTTGAGGGGACTTAGGGATTCAGAAGGTGGAGGGGGGCTAGATGGTTTAAAAAATATTGTGGAATTGACACTGTTATAATTGTAACTGTTTTCTTTCAAGCTGTGGAATAAAAGGAAAAAAAAACAAAAAAGGGACAGAAACATCATTTTCATATTTGAAGCAGGAGAGGAGCTTGATTTCCTCTGACCTCTCAAAGTTGTTTTTTTTTTTTCACTTATTTAATGTATTTTAAATATCAGTCAATATTTTTGCTGAAGTAAAAAAATGAAGGGTGGTCTCTGACTTTTACACAGTACTGTAGAAACATACACAAGCAAGCAAAATGTGTGAGACTCTGATGACATAAAAATACTGAACAATGAGCTAAGAGAACTAAAACACAGACACTTTGGTACACTTCTAAACATACTGCACCGTCTGCCCTTTCCGAAAGGCTGATATTTGAGGTGTCAAGTCTTTTGACACTGAGTTGCGACCAGCTGGGGTCACTAATATCCCTTGCGCACTCAGCATATTCCAAGCTAGTGACGAATTGAGTTACACTTATGGCCTGCTTTCAGATGCAACACAAACACAGTAACCATCCTTCACAGAAGAAAAAACTCAATCGTTCTATACACAAAATGATCAAATTTCTGTGCAGTATATGCTCTGGGAGTTTGTGAATGTACAATGACCTACTCCAGACCTACTTTTATCATCAGAGCCTGCAGTTGCTGGTTTTTTTATTTATCAGCAACACAAGCACCTTTACATATTTATATTTATTATGATTTCCAATGGACTTACCAGTACCTAGGCATATTTTTACTGGTTCTAATTCCTGAAAAGTGTTAAAGTGAAAAAAGTTTTGAACATTTCAACAAATTCTACACTTTTAGGGGTTGATATTGTAGAAAAAAATGTTTTATCAACATTTGGTACGGTGCAAAAGTCAGAGACCACCCTTCATTTATTTAATTTCCAGTCAAAACTGACAAATTATACAGGAGCCCCAACAACTAAATGAAATATGTATTTTTTTAGTATTCATGTCAGGAGACTTGCTTTCAGTTTTTCGAAAAAATAAAAAGAGGGATATTCTTCAACACCTCTGTCATAGACTGAACTGCGTCCATTTCAGTCATAGAAGTTGGTTGTATTTGCGTATTTGCACATTCCAAGTAATCCCAAAAACATTTTATGATGTTAAGGTCTGGGCTCCGAGTTAGCCGGTCCATTGTTCTGAGAACAGCAGCAGCTTCTTTATGTGATTTGTAAATTTTCTTACTTTTCTCAGTAGTGGCTTTTTGAGAGCTACACATCCTTCCAGACGTGTAGCTTTGAATTGTTTTCTCATAGTGGAAGGAAAGACAGAAATATCTGTGATTTTTTTCAGATCCAAAGCTAAAGAGGAGGTTGATGTTCTCCTGTCTCTTAAACATAAAAACTGTTGATCTACATAAGTACTGTTGATCTAATGGTGGTAGTTTTGGTGGTCTCCTTGGTTTTGCTTGGTCATAAAGAGTCTAATTTTTTGTTATCTTTTAATCTAATATGTTTTATCTCCTGAAAAATCAATAACTTGACTGAAAAGGAAACACATAACAGGCAGTTTCTAACATTAAGACTTTTTGGTAACGTAGTTAACAACATATAATACAGCATTTTTCATTATGTAATCTGTAATTTCACATATGTAATCTGTTAAAAAGATCTTGAAAATCACTCCATTGTCTTTAAGTTGTCAAAGTTTAAGTTGTTGTTCACTATCAAAGTGAAAACCACCTACCATGCTGGTGCTAAGAGTATATGATATTTTCATATGGAATTACAGCATCTGTGCTAAAACATAAGGCTATGTGAAGGGTTGCATATCCTTCCAGTGAACATTCCAGGGCCATGTGGTAAATGTACTGGGATGTAGTAAGTGTAGTGGAAAAAGCCTTATCAACACAGTGCCGTAAAACAGATCGGGGGATATAACCAAAAAGGTCCATTGCTTTTGTCAGGATAAGTGCTGTGTCACACAATACACAAAATGTCTTCTCCTGCACTTGTCTCCCTGATTGAAGAAAAGCATCACCAATCTTTCATTATTCTATATAATAAAAAAGTTAAAAAGTGGGGATATATGGATATTTTTACAGCTACACAGCTAAATCCCCAATGTTGAATTAACACTGTATCCAGGTGGACTTAAATAAACACTGTAGGTGTTAATTCAGCATTGGGGGTTTTGCCATGAATTTGTCCTGGAGGTGGTAACATAGCATAAGAATTTTATTGGCCATACTACCGCCTTTATTTGGGTTTATTTTACCATCATTATAAAACAAATAAATTTAAACTCTCAAGACCCAATTATAAACGTATCTAATCTCACCAATGTACAATTTGAGCAATAAGGCCTTTAATATGGGATTATCATAATTTTACCCTCATACAGACATCTGAAACTCCTTTCCATCCATACAACTGTAATGTATCCAAGTATATACACATGAAATGCTCAAAGAGCTTGCTTCTTTCAACACCTTCAACTCAATCTGAATGTCTTATTAAATGTCTTTCCTCTCAAAGAATTTCAAACACTAAAATTTGTTTACATCTATCTAGATTCATTCATTCATTCATTCATTGTTGGGATGGGAGGGATTTGAGCCATTCCTTATTAAACCATTAGTGACTAAATTAAGGTCTCTTTGGGTTTGCTGGGAGTTGGAACAGCTTTGCTTTCAGCAGCAAAATAAAAAAAAAGAAGTATCGGTCAGTGAATATGCTAGGGCCAATATGTTCTGTATTAATGGCAGTAGTAATGCCAGTATTAACAGAGTGAAAAAAGCGTAAATGTAAGTATATGATTGCTGCATGCATGCTCTCCAGCCTGACATAAAAATGACATGAGAATGGAAGCATGAGAGCATATGCATGAAAATGTGTGAGTGGGTGGTGAATCTTAAAAGATCTATAGGGATGTCTTTGCCTCCTGGTTGTTAACAGACAAGAGCTATTCCTCCTTCCATTTCTTTGGTGGGGCCAGTAATTTTCTTGTATCAGTAAGTGTCAGCCAGCGGAGCAGCATTAGTATTTTATAGCCACACTGTGTTGTGTATTCGCTGCTGCCCCCGCTGCCTGCACTCTTGCTGCTGGCTGCTCTGGCTTGCAAGAACCTTCCCCCTTCCTCCCCTTCACTGCCATGATGCAAGGTCATCCTTGTCTTTCCTACCTTGTGACCCCTTTCCTTCCCTGGTCCAGAGCACATCCCTCCCAGGGCCGTAAGGAGGGGAGCGGGGTGGGGGGGCGCAGTGGGGGGGGCCTGTGTCAGTGTGCCACTCTCTCTGTGTCACTCCAGGTTATGGGCTGGTGATGCAGGAGGAGCTGCTCTCGCCGGCCTCCATGCAGTATAGCCTGCCCTCTCCACTGGGCCATGAGCCCTACTGGCAGGAAGTATCGAGCATGGAGTGCGCACCTATCGCCACCACAGAGGAGGATACACTTATGGAGATGTCCGAAGTGCAGGTGTGGCCCACGGGCAACAGCCCCTCACTAGTGACCGTTGAGGACTCCTCGCTTGAATGCAGCAATGCAGACGACTCAGAAGGCCTGCTCTATGGAAGCCTCGGGAGACCAGGGAGTGTGACACCAGGTGGTGGACGTGTTCCCAGGGGGCTGGGTGGCACTGGAGGCCTGAGTGGCTCTATTGAGCTGCTGGAGGACCAGTCTATTGGGGCGGACTCCGAGCACAGTGCTGCTGCCACCCCTGGTACAAGCGGAGGGGTCAACATCAATGGGCTGGACAGAGGTCAAGGGTTGGAGATGGACGAGAAGGCAGCAGAGGCAGGCAGGAGCATTTCTGGAGGAGCAAAAGGGGGCATGGGAGGAGGAGGAGATGGCACAGGCTTAGAGGAAGGCTTGTCTCTCATTACAGGGCAGCAGAGGGTTTATGCTCGAATGAGTGAGTCACCTGGGCTTAGCCGAGTAGCTGATCGCGATGGTGACAGGTAAGCTGACAAGGTTATTGAATTTCTGTGTTTTTAAATTTCTGTTCGAATTTCAGTTTAGTGTATTATAATGTTTTACATGTATATATGATTAGTATAAGTATTCATTTAGATTGTAATCTGTTATTTACCTTTCTTCTAGTTTTATTTTACAGTGGCTTACTCTGTGCTCTAAAGAAACCTCTTTACCATCTCTTTAAGTCTTCTGATACATGTTCTCCAGGAAAGAGGCCACAACTTAGTTAAAACATGTAAACTGACAGTTCTGCATTGCAAGAATATGTCTGTCAGTTTGCTCAGTACAAAAGGACTTACAAGATTTAAAAAGCTTCAAAGTTCAACTTAAACGATCAAATTATTTTAAGAACAGAAGATTCGTTCTTCTTTTTTCATTAACTTTCTGTTTCTTCCTTCAGATCAAGTGGGGGTTCTTTCCTGTCATACCTCCAGGACCAAGCTAGCCCTGGATGGCACACTGTACCAGATCCTATCCAGAACTGGGTGGGAACTTCTAAGTCCCCCAGTCCCAGGCAGGCCATGGAGTCCATGATGTCATCAGTGCAGGCGGCAGTGGATGGAGATCCAAGTCAATCTCACCTGTCCCAGGAAGCCTTGCTCCAGCCAGTGCGGGATATGGGGCACTCTGAGATACTGAGAGGGCATTTTAGGGGAACCCAGCCTTTTGAGAAGGGCTTAGGTTTTCCCCACAGAGTACCTGAACTTCAGGGATGGGAAGAGATGCGTCTCAGAGGACAGGTAAGAACTGGGCATTGGTTGGAGAGGGATTGCATGCAAGATTTATAGTGATTATAGTTCCTTGCAGTACGTTATAGTACTGCTGACACTTCCATATCCTGTTGCTCTTTGTTGATATCAGATTTCCATCACTTTGGTTTATATAGTCAGAAAATATTTTTGTCTTCAAAACTGTGTTAGTCCACTCACAATACTCAAGTCAATAGTGAAAGTAATACCTTTAATTTATATAGCACACAAAAAAGTCTTCTAACTTTGTAGCTGCAGTGTCACATAGCTCAAGCTGCCAGCTCGGGAAGCCTCATAGCTTGGAAAGAGTCCTTAGCCATGGCAAAATGTTCCTCACAGCCTTTGCAGCCTCAAAGTTGCGATGAAGTGTCACTCAAACCTGGTAGTAGTATTGCTCAGACGGCCAGCACAAGAAACCTCTGAGCCAACAGGGAAAGTCAGTCTTCGCTGCTAGCTTGGTCGATATGGTAGCAGACTGCTGAGCAAGTGGAGAAACATCAAAACAATACAAAACACTACACAAATAAAACAAACCGATATAAAGTGGCAGCCATATTGCAGTGTTCTCATAGACATGGCTAACAGGTTTTGAATTAGCATTGACCCTTTTGTTCATTGATAAATGATGGCTGATGCTAATGAGCTATAGCTAATGTATGCAAATTAGTGGCCTATTTACTGTAAAGTTAGCTGAAGTTTATTCCCACTGAAAGCAGGCTGAAATGGGTCCATATTACTTTGCTACTAAAGGGTAATTATTTGAAGACATATTTTTTTTTTCTAACGGTGCACACTTATGCTCACATGAATGTTTGTAGCTAATCACTACCCACCCATACTTTCACACACACAACCCAAGAAGGACACAAGAACCAGCTGGTACCAGATATAGCACCTGTCTCTCTCCCTCTCTCACCCTCCCTGTGACTTCTGCTGCTACTTTTTGCCATTGGGGGAGGGATGGTATAAGTTATATTTGGATGAGAATGTATGAACAGTAAGGTCATTGACTACAATGGCCTCTTAAGCCTAAGTGGATAATTCTCTGTTTCCTAATGATACATGACAGTAGGAAAGTAGGTGAACCCTGTGTTATTAAGGCCAAATTTGCAAGTACAGGGCTGACATGAGTAAACAATTTACACATGTGCTTATTCAAGTACACAGACTGAGGCATAAAGATTTGTGGATTACATTTAACATTGACTGAATTGGAGTTTTGAATTCTGTGAATTATGGTGAACATGATTAACATTGTCTCAGAATCTTTTGGTAAAAAGATTTTCTAGTATTCTCAACCTTATACTGGCTGATTCATTTCGGTTTGACCATATCAGAAGGCCGACACTGGGTGCTTTGTATTTAGTACAGTATATTTCAGCAGATGTAAAACACATCAGAAACTGAGATTTGATATTCACATTTATTTCAGCTTGTGTCTGTCTTCTACGAACTAACAGCTTCACAGAGCTGTCCAGCCAAAAGTATTTAAAACGTGCAGATCACATGGGCAACAGGAGACAGGGAGGGGAGTTTTTGGAAGCAAACAGGGGAGGGAGAGGGAGAGGGAGAGAGAGAGGGAGAGGGAGAGGGAGAGGGAGAGGGAGAGAGGGAGAGAGGGAGAGAGAGAGAGAGAGAGAGAGAACGAGCAGTAGAAAGAAGAAACTGAAGCCAACCAGTGCAGCATGTGTTTGGTGACATTTGGTCAGCCACTTCCCACACCCAGCTGAGATCAGAAAAAAAGAAGAGAACAGCAGACCACTGAATGCAAGAGGCAGAATGGGCTCTCTGTGCGGACTGCTCATGCTTTTCTGATGAGTGCTCTAACTGATAAAAGTTAAACGAAGACTGTGGCATCTCTGGGATCTAAGCTGCTTGTGAAGTCACGTAAAACCTGTGTGACCTGAGGAACTGCAAGTGTGTATGCGACAGTGAGTGTGTGTGAGAGGGCATTTGTGACACAATGTGGGCCCTAGTCACAGAACTGCTCTTCAGCTTTGTGTTGCTGGCCTTTCTGGTGATCAGCTGCCAGAATGTGTTGCATATCGCTAGTGGCTCAGTGCGATCAGCACTATCTTATATTCATGCACAGCTGGACCGTGAACTAGGGGAGGACGAGAGCATGCCAGACGAAGAGGAAAATGTCACCACTCGTGTAGTGCGACGCAGAGTTATTCTGAAGGTACCCCTCTTTTAGTGTAAAGGGCAAATAAAGAAAAAGGTAGCAAAGGACTGAACAGTGTTGATGATGTATTTGCTGTATTTTATGTCCTGCTCGTTTGGGAATACATTGCCCAAAAAATCTGGTGGGGTCCAGATAGCATGATAGCTTTTGCTTAAAGCATAGATTCTAGAAACCTCAGTGTTTTGGGTAAAGTACTCCTTTAAGGTTCTTCTATGTCAGGGGATTAGAACAAAGATATACAATACGTGAAGTTCTACATATGTTGCGTCTAAGTTACTGTACATCAGAGTACTCTTACTGCACTCGCAGCAGAGCTTTTAACTAAGTAGTTGAATACTATACTGTAGGATAGTATGGGATTATGATTCTGTGGTAAACTGATTTTAAAACAATGTAGATGAAACTCAGGTACAAGGAGCATTTAAAATATTTAGATGCAGCACAGTAAGATAAAGCTGAGTTTCAAGTAGGTTATTTTATTCAGGTATAACACAAATGTATAACAAATGCTCCACTCCCTAACCCTAACCATGCATGGCCATATATTAACAAGACATGTAGCTACTATTTGAACTACGATAGCTACTATTGTTTAGCTATCTAACTGAACAGTTAACGTCATTCCATACATAACCTAAACTTACATCTTTGAAGTCTGTTACATTACAAATTAGCTACGTAAGACTGAACTAGTTTATATATATAACTAGTTTTAACTAGTTTTGTTTCAAAGTCATTTACAGTATGAACAACAGATTGATTGGTTAGTAGTAGCCCATAGTTACCTTATGCCACTTCCTATAAAATAGCTATCTAGTCAAGTAGCTTCACTTAGCTAATTAAGTAAACCTAAACAACGCCTGCTGGCTAATGTCATGTTTGCAAAGACCATATAAATATAACTATAGGTCTAGTTTCATGGTACAGCAGTCATTTTTATTTTGATCTCACATATGGTCACAACAAGAAAAGCTACCTGGTTAGCAAAAGAATAACTAGTTAATATCATCGAAAGAAAAAACAAACGTTATGGTTAGCTCATGATATATAACATTAGCCAACTTACATCAGGTGGTATTGCTTCTTAGTAGTCACAGTAGTAGTTAATTATAGATGATAAGGAATTGGCAGTGTTTGTGTGACTTTCATTTTCTTTAGTGTTTGATGTATTTTGTCTTTTTCATATGAAGGGGAGTGAGTACCCTGCTGAAAAAAAAAACAGCTTAGACTAGCATGCATTCCATTCTGGTCTGGGCTGGTTTATGCTGGACTGCTGCTGGTCTAGCTGGTCGCCCAGCATGTTCACGGACAACATAATGTTGCTGTCAGAACAAAACCTAGTACGTCCAAAATGGTAACTGTGTAGGAGCAGAAACAACATTACTGATTCGAAATGGAAGTCTAACAGTCTAACAGAGTTTTCTAACAGGGTATTTTAATTGGGCAAATAAATGTGACAATTAAAAAAGGTTGTGACATGTATATTTAGTAAGTAAAAAATTGAAAGTGAACAAAAATGAAAGAAGTGAAGTAGGTAACAGTAGGTAGAGTAACATCCTATTTCAGCCCATGAGTCCTACATGTAAAGAAAAGGTCATGAAAAAGTAAAGGTATGTTGATGTTAGGTTATCTAGAACTTCATCCATTCTGTAATATGATGATGAGAGGAAAGTAGAGAGGTAAGAGAGGTGTATGGTAAGTATATGTGTGAGTTTGGTTTGGACAGTGTAGTTTTACTGTAGCTGGTCAACAAATTAAAATTTTAATTGTCAGAGTAACTACTGAAAATATTCTGTGGAAACAGTATAGGCTCACTAGCAGAACATACTTACATAATACCAAGACAAGGTAAAGGTTGAGTGTAGGTCAGTGGTTAAGCTGAAGCATTTATGTATGCTTCTCTTCATCCAAAATGAGTGTGCTTCATATTTCATGGGTACATTTCTGTAATGGCTGCACACATCCTTTTCATTTCTCTGCACCATTTTCTCTCTTTGCTACCTCTCTGCACTGGCTTGCAGTTGGCGCTCACATATGGTAATGGGGCCAATGACCGTTTCATGAGGCTGTTTTAAAATCTACATTCTTGTTTTCTCCCCAGTTGTTAACCATGTTTGCACTAGGCATGATGTCTCATATCATCTATCAGTTTTTAAAGTACTGTTTTCAAGAATTTGTCCATATTTTTTTACAATTATATCAGTGGCTAATCAGGTAGAGAAAACTGGGTTCTTTAATGTATGTGAAATTCATCATGTGAAAATGGATGGCTAATTCACTTCTTTACTGTATCATACAGCCTCTCTTAGCAAAATATATACTTCTGCATATTGCTGCTGTCAGAACAAAATAATTTTTTTTATCATTTTTCAGTTTTCGACATAATTTGAAAATGCCTGTGGCCCTTCACATTGTGTGTAAATTTCATGAGGAATGGATGAAAAGAACTGGTCCTTGGAGGTACAAGGTTTTGTTCCAACAGCAGCAATATACAGCTTTTCACATTTTTATAGCATTTTATTCATCCAAGTATCATTCAGCTAAGCGAGATATATCCAGATACCCTGCTTGGAAATCTGTAGTTTCAGCAGCTTTTCTCTCTGATCTGTTCTGACCTGCTTCCAAAACCCTTTTGATTTCCTTAGGCTTAGTACATTGCCTTTACATTGTCATATATTACATAGGGTGATGAGGCCAAGGATCTTCCTGGAGAGCAAGTGAGGGAGGAGCAGTTTACAGATGAGCGTGGCAACATCGTCACCAAAAAGGTCAGCTTCCCCATGCTTTGTACTGCTTCTTGCTTGCAGCAAAGTCATCTCAGCACTCATTATCTATTCAAATGGAATAGTTACCCTTGGGCTCAGGAAAAAATGATTATTACAGCAATAATCATTTTGATCAATGATAATGGTTTCAGAGCATCTGAAAGCAATGAATATGTTCATCAAATGTTACCTTACTCTGTGTACTCTTGTGTTTGATGGAACTTGCAATGCAGTTATATTGCTGTCCTTTTCTCGTGTATTTTGTTGTATTTTCCTCTTTCTCTTTGCAACTAAATTTCCAATAAAATATTGCAAAAATTAAAGACTGCTAAAACAGTCATGATGCTATGCTGGCAGCAATGTATTGTCATTTGGCAGTTTGACACCACTAGCATTTCTTCTTCCAACAGTGGGGAAACCTCAGGGCCTTCTTGGCTTTCAGAAAGGCCTAATGATTTCCAGGAATTAAAAACAGAAAGTTGTCCAGTCAACATTTTTTTCCTGTGGTATCTAGGTAGCTGCAGCCAAGCAAGCTCTTACATTGGTTAGGCCTTTAGGAGCTGGACAAAAAGCCTTGTACGTTAGATTGACTACCAGCATAATTAGGATGTGTTAGTGGAATCAGCCAGACACGCTGTGATTTCCAATGGTGGGACCAATTTAATGAGAGAAAACAGCACAAGATAAGTCAATGACTGCGAATACTAACCCAGTTTCAGTCAGTTATCAGGAATGGAAAACAGTGCCAGCTCTATGACAAGGCTATTTTCTGAATGCGTTACTGTAAAACTGCAGCAAAAATATCTGTTGCAAGCTTCAAACAAAAATGTGCACTTATGTGCACTTATGTTAGTTTAGTGCTGTCATACTTTTAGAAATCCCATAGAGAGCCTAGCAGAGATTAGCAGAGATTAGGGTTTTTTTTTTTTCATTTTTTGACATTTGGCAGTGAAGGCCTAGCTCTAGTAGTCATGGTTTGTCACTGATTTCCACTTACTCACTGTAACCTTCACAGTTCAGTTCAGAGATTGAGAACAAGATGAAGGGGTAGGTTTTGTCCTGAATGAAAGTTGGTGAGAGGGAGACTGAAGCGGAGGCTCTTTGTAGAATCCTTTCATCAACCTGCCCTCCATTCCACCTTTCACATCATTTTATATCAATCCCATATGTACTCATTTCTGTCTCAGCCTCCTTTTTTTCTTTCTATTACATGAAGCATCCCACTTGACATCATGTCTTGAATTCTTTTACTCTTGCACCTTAGTTTCTCATGTTGTTTCTCTTTTTTTAATCCTCCATTCCTCTCATTTGCTCCCTCTCTCTCCACTCTGACTCCATGGCCTTGCCCTCTCCTCTGCATCGGGTGACACTGTAGATCGTGCGGAAGGTGGTTCGGAGGGGGAAGGATGAGGAGGGGGGTCAGGAGCTCATTATAGAAGGACTGCCACAGGAAGTGGATGAGCTGGACGGTGACGCTGAGCAGTTCACGAGCTACGCTGTGCTGGGCCGAGAAAGCATGGTGGGTTTCTGAGCTGTCCAGTATGGATTAAGCTTGACTGCCATGTGCTACAAGTTGTACTTGCAGTAAGTGCAGTACATGCTGTTTGTGTTGTGTTAGCAGATTATCAGATGGAATACAAGTATATGCCCATGTAATGGAAACACATGACTTTTTACAAGTTGCTAATTGCTTATAGTGCTGTTCATGCACCAAGTATAATGACAAACCTGATGGAATACAAGCATATGCCCATGTGTTGAAAAGTAGTGCTCTGAATGTAGACTTTATTTTACTTGGAAGAGTTTAAGAGTTCTTTCTCTCCACCTTCAAGTTGCTTTATAACTATGGAATCACAGACAGGCAGTTTGTTATTTTTTCAATGTGACTGTAATATGTTACTTATTGGAAGGATGTACCATATTATATAAGCCCTTTATTAACCATGTACTACAACAAAAAAGACAGCAGCTGTGCAGAAGCTATTTACAATAGAACAGATATACGCTATGATCTTAGCTTGTATGCATCATATTTGACCTAGCATAAAAAATTTACATCAAAACCTTCATATTAACTGCCTGCGTATCATAATCATCAGATTAGAATTATCACCTTATAGAAGAAATTTTAAGATAATTTATTAACGACCTGAAAGCATGTCATAATCAACAGCACTGCATTCATTTACTTCTATTAAAGTGATGTGTGTATTACATAACGACATTGAGGTTTATACTTATAGTGTAACATTGTTATGAAGTATACAATAATAACAGACTTTAACTATAATAACAGCCATAGGGTTAAATGTTAGTAGATCAACTGTTCCAAAAATATGATTTATGAATGTGTTGTAGGGGTTTATAGAGGTTTTAACAAAGCTTTAAAGTAGCTTTTGCGGAGAGTCTGACAGCCGAGATCTTCCCAACCTAACCTAGTGCATCATGGTTACTTTTCCCAGCATGCACCTGGCTTCATCTTTTCATTGCCTCATTTTCATTCTGTCCCAAAAGGAGGAACCATTCCCAGACAGGGATCTTAATGAGAATCTTGTCACAGCATCAGCTATTTGGTCAGAATATTGGTGCTGTTGTAACAAAACCGAGCTTTAAAGTACATTATTGAGATTATATTCCAAGTAATTTTGGACTGTTCCAAGTAATTTTGGACTGTTTTGCTACATTTATTATGAAATGCCCACACAATGGGAAGGTCAGCTGGCATTTCCAAGTAGCATAAAAATAATAAACAGAAAAATGGAGTTATGAGGTTTTGATGAGACAGCAATGATATGGATTGTTTCTGTTCACAGAAAACAACAATACAAAGCATATAATAATCTACTATGATCAAAAAGAATGAGCACAAATTAATTAGATGTATCAAAATGAGGCAAACCTTTATCATGCTCAAAACTGCCCTCCAAGAAAATACTGTGATTTGATTTCAGGTAATGATAATATGCAGCTGAGGGTCTTCACAATTCTCTAGGTGTTCATACCTGATGTGTATCAGCAACTAATGTATTTCGATTGGCCGTGTAAGATTTTGTAGTAACTCACTTCTGGTTCCTCTTTGTGGGTGTTTATTTGGCCCTTGATAACCCTTGCTGATAACTCTTGTTCATGGTTTTGTCCTGTTTTTGTGACTTTTTCCTGTATGCACTCTATTCCATTAAAACTCTCTTTGCTCTAAACTGTGAATGTGGTTGTCCTTCTACATGCAATTGCTCTTTTTTATCTGTAAACATTTCTGACACTTCTCCTGTCTGTCTCTCCCCAATTTTCCATTTCTTCCTTACCTTCCTTTTGTGCATTTCATCCTTTTCTTTTCTTTCCTTTCATCTAACTCTGGACTGCAACTGTTCCATTTCTCATCTCTTTACATTGCCCCCTGACTTATGTCATTGTGTCGCTCTTTTGCTGTGTCTCACCTTCATCTCTGATTTCCTGACACCTCTTTCTCTTTCTTTCCACATCTCATTCTGTCCATTCTGCATTTATTCCCCTTTTCCACACCCCACCCCACCCCACCCCACCCTCCTTCTGGACTGTCACATCTGCTACTCGGCTGCTCCTCCCTACACCTCCTCCTTGCTCCTTGCTGCTGTAGCCGGAGGTTGTGGATGTGAAGAAGGGTGGGGCTCAGATAGTGAAATGTGCCACTCTGCGGAGAGTAAAGCAGTGAGCAAGGTACAGGCTAAAGGCCTGCTGTGTGTTTATTTAATCCTGCTAACCACAGGGATTAAATAGCAATTTGAACACAGCCATGTTTTCAAAAGTATGCGTGTTGTACTGTTAAAGTGCCTGCTTTATAACAGCAAGTGTCCAGCAGAGCTCTGTGTATTGACTGATATATTATTTGATGGAATGTAAGTCAACTAGCAAATCAAATCAGGTGCAAGCCGTAAAGTTTTTTTTTTGTTTGTTTTAACTCTTTAAACCCCTAACAGCCCATAAGTAGGTCCACGTTTCAATTTAATTTCTTGCTCTCATAATATATCATGTTGCTGTCGTATCAAAAACTTGCAAGTCCATTTAATTTTTTTAGAGCATTTGAAAACAGCAGCTACCATTTTTATTGTGTGAACATGGTCTAAAATTACTTCAAATAAAATAATATTAACATATATTAAATGCAAGAATGCTTTTTACATTGCCATTTCAAAGATGGTGATGATATGATGAAATTTCACAGTAGCTACTGAATAATTAAGTTAACCATAATTTTAAGAATAACAACTGAATAGTAAACCACAGGTTCAAGGGGTTAAGTAAAGTTTGAATAGCACTGTTAGCAATAGCATGCAGAAAACACCATTTCTGAAAAGTTTATTAACAGTTGACTTTTTACAAGTTTTTAGTGGCTAGCAGTGCTATTCATACACCAGATATGAATGTAAACCCGATGTAGTACAAGCAGATGCCCATGAAATAATGCATGAGCATTAGCATTCCAATCAATGGAATGGGGATTAATACTACATATTCTCATTAAAGCCACTAACAAAGATCTGTTAAGAGATTTTTGCTAACAGTAACTTCATGGACAAATATATTCATGGACTGGTATCTCTATACTGCCATTGAAAAAACAAAAAAAATCCATTGAAGGAATAGGGAGTCTATAAAAGTAAATATGCAAATGCCATAAATAATGAAAGCTAGTATTGCCAGTTAATGCTAATTGGCACTGCTGCCTTCCTATCATTGAATTTTTAGTAATTTGTTCGATGGACATAGCATCGATGAACATTGTTTATGCTTATGGCTCATCTGATATTCGCTTTGTTTCTCTCTTCATCCTAGGACTTGTCTCCTACACCAAAACCTTTTCTCGTAGACACATGATGGGCAGCAAGCGCTGAAGAAAAGTGGAAACTGGAGAGTTTGAAAGCAGGCAGACACCAGTACCAATAGATGGCTTTTATGACGTCTTTTTAAAACATACCTAAAACAAGAACTAGGCTAGAGGCATGATTTCATATTAAACGAAAACTGAACCTAGAAAAAAAAAAAACAAAGCATCCGGAAAGTGCTTCCTATAATCTTCTGTATCAGCATGTGAGTGCTGTCGCATGGCCTGCCTTTACCTACACCACAGACAGCGAAGGATTATGAGACTCACGATTGTTTAAGGGCATGGAAAGTGACAAGAGTTAGCCCCACAGAGTGGGTCAGGGATTTTTGGGGCTGTCAGAACCAGGATGTCAGCCCAGAATGTTGTATTTTAGAAAGAACAAGGTTCACAAGGGATATGCAAAAAGCTAGTACAAACACATAGCAACATCAAAAAAGCAACAGTTCTCCCTCCAACTCTTACGAATTTGAGTCTTCCAATAAAAATGCATTGTAGCTCATTCTAATGTAGAACTTCTGAATATTATTACACTTGGAAAGAATTTTCCTTCTAGCACTTGGTACTGTACATAATGCAGTATATGCACTCAAATACTACATGAATGTTCATTGTGTCTGTGGGTGTGGTTTATGTTACAGCCGAAGAAGAAAAAAAAGAAACTGTATTCTAACAAAATGCGATGAGGATGCTGCTGATGTCCTGATAACTTCTCTGCCCTCGTTCCTGTTTGGTTCAGATGTATAATGTCAATATCCAAATAGCTGCTTGAGACAGATTTTGGGAATGATGTTCTGCTTGTGTGCTTTTTAAATGTCCATATGCTGCACCTGAGGTTTTTTGCTGCTTTTTTATGTTTTGTTTCCTCATTTTTATGTTTGTCTCTCCACCCGGGAAAAACAGTGAAGGGATTGTCTGCCATAGATATTATTTTTGGATGGAGCGCTGCTCTTCAATTGCCTTTCTTTGAGATACATAGTGGACAAGAGGTTTATGGAGGGAATTATTACTTGCAAGTAGCATAGCATGAGTGAAAGAATGTTAACTTCTAGTCATGAGTGAGCACACACATACACAAACACAAAACTGACAAACACTTCTGTTCAGTGCATATGTAGCAACCAAGTCTTCCATTACAAAAGATATCAGTAGCTCAGGTTTAGTTTTCCTGTAAAAGATGCTGTGTCCTATACCGGGAAGGCAATATGAATAGATTTGGCCACTGGCCAAGAAACTTTCATTAGGTATTTCTTTTTGTCTTATATTTTTATATTTAACATTGGCAATACACAGAGATGACATTACTCTACAAGGAATAGGAGTATTATCAGAGAGATTTTTAAAAAACCATGAACCATCTATTAAGTTCTTTTTTATAGAAACAAGATTACATATAAATACTGCTGTCAGCAACCACCTGGATGCAATAGACATCAAATTGCAGGGGTGTGCCTGTGGTTACCTATGTACCCATGTGCATGGAGGGACATTATTCCAAGATATTCCAAGTCTATTTCTAAAAATAATTTGTTATTTACCCATATTGTATTATTAAGGTGTAATCGAGTAACTGATTGGGACATGTACAATAAGATGTATTTGTGGCAAGTGCTGGAAATCTTTTATTTTGAACATCTGCCTAAGTGTGAAAGTTCAGTATCAGTTTTTCTATTCACCAGTTGCATAGTGTATGTAATAATTTGTCATCTGTTTATTGCATACTTCTCTTTTTTAAGGCTGAATGTTTTGGGACACCAAAAGTTACAAAACCAAATCAAAATAAGATAAAATAAGAAAGTGACATTAAAGATCCATTGACATTATTCCCAGTAAAGTTTTTTAAGGAAGTATGGAATAGCATTTCAAAACAAGTATGACATAGTTATCCTCACTGGGCATTTTTCTGTGTTGGTATATATCTTCAGCAGTTTGATTCTATTTTCTTGTAGCTGCATAACAAGTTGGGGTAATCTTGTGTCAGGAACTCAAACTGAGCAGCCATTCTCATAGTAGACTAGTATATATGTTGATGTGTGTAATGTTGCAAATACTGACAGTCTTCTCAGTGCTATTTTTCTTTATTGAGCTCAGCACAGACACTTAGCAACTAAACACTGTGACTAGACTGTAGCACTGTCCCAGCAAAGGCACACTACACCAACACACACATATACTCACGCACACAGACATTTCTGTGCTGTCAGACACAGTTCCACACAGGAACCTTCCTAATGTAGCTTTTAAGGATAGAAGATATTATAACCTCAATCGTTTAGAGCGGATGCTAGACCAAAACTTGCAAACACTCTCTTATAAATATATAGACCTCAGATCTCTCCCCACAATGAGGTAGCTCATACAAGTTCTGTGTTAATTGTGTCATTGTGGGAGTGTAGCTATATTTTTTCGTTTTTTGTCCCCTTCTGAGGAAGGCAAGGGGATTTTCTGTGACAACTCACCTACTGCTTTATTTCCATGAAAAATATTAAGAAATAGCTTCTATTTACCTCATGTAACCATGTAAAATTTCAAAACTGTGCTCCGAATCACTTTTGAGTTCAGAATTTTTAAAGGTTGTCCCATCAGGTTTTAAATCATGTTTTACATTAGTTTATGCTGTTGGAGTATGTTAACATGAAATGGTTTAACTAAAAATTAAATATTAATCTCACTGTTGTGTTTATAAATAGTTAACATTTCAGATCAGTTCAGTCATTGTGTAAGCTCAGAATTTAAAGGACTCATATTATGGAAAACTGCCATTTCTCTCATGCTTTTTAATAAATTTGAAAGTGTGAACTAATATGTAAACATTGTTACAGTTTCAAAATGCACCGTTCACTACCCAGTCCATATGGTCTTCCTATGGAAATTAAGCTGCAAAAACAGCCTGTTTTGAATTCATTGTTTTTATGATGTCATGAGAACTCATTTACATATATAGCAGTTTAGCCCAGCCCCTGTATGTTGAGCCCCTGTATGTCTAATAGATCTAATATGTCTTACAAAAGTCGTATGTCAGTCTTAAAGGCACAATATCAAACACAGCCTGTTTAATTGATGAAAAATGAATTATGACCATTTTTGTAATTTAATTAGGCAGAAAAAAAATACAAGAAAAATGTAGGATACAGGCCTTCAAATATGCATAACTATGGAACTATTTGGAGCAAAGTTTTGAAGTTTTTTTTTTTTTACAGGAACAACGTAACAGGTAAACAGGTGAACTGTAGGTAGAATGGAAAATTCCACCCCTGAATTTCAAAAATACCTATTCCACCTATTCCAAAAATAAAGATAGGGCTGTACTGGTGTAGGTAGTGCAGCATCATTTATGTTTATACTTTTTTTAATACAGAAAGGATGTGAGCTCACTCTTACTCAGTCCACATATTTAGACGAAATAATCAGAAGAAAATCTGAGAGGAACTGATTTAGTTTCAAATTGTCCAGTGCCATTCACAGATCAAGGATTTTTCCTTCATCCACCAATGGATTTAGGGTTTGATCTTTTTGATCTTCTTTACTCATAAAGTAAATTATGTCCAAATGAAGGTATCTTATCCTAAAACTATGCTTATCGTCATTTATAACCCCATCACACACATGAATGCACCATAAAACCCTAGTGCCGAAACAGCTTTCAGAGAAATGTGACATAAGAAATATATCAGGCTGGACAGCTCACATTAGAGCAGTCCTCTGAGGATTATGCAAACAACCCAGTATTGTATTTTACTTGGAAATGTAGCATTACCCACAAATAGACATGATGTCAGAACATATTACCTGTTCATTGCCTAGAGCACTGTACCTCATATCTTAGTTGAATGTAACAATATTAGACTCCTTACAAGCATATTCAGCAAATTTCCAGTTAAGTAAGAGCCTGTACATTAGGGTATAATATATGAATCCTATTATCACAAAAATGTTTAACTCCCAACAAACCCTCATCAAAAGAGTTACGAAAACTAAAACCAAACTGACATTAAATGGCATATCAACGGGCTAGTTATGCTTACATGAGCATTGAGGAATAAGGTATTATAGATTTGTTTTTGAAAGGTAGTATTGCGAAAGGCACAAAAGGCATCTCAAACACACTGAAGTGGTCAGGTAAAATATTCCACAATGTATTAAATGATACCCACTATCAATAAGTAAGGCCATCTTTTTACCAGTCTTCTCACCGGCTATGCCAAAAAATCTGTTGAATAGTACATATATAAATGCATACATTTCTGTTGTATGAATACTATAGATATGTACAGTTTATTTGTTGTATTTTCCAATAGAACGCCAAACTTGGAAAACACAAAACTGTTGAAAGGTTATAATGCTGTCAGTTAACCAATGTATGTAGTGAAAATATTGCAAAATTATTCTGTGCAGCTGAACTTATTTATTGACATCATTATATGGTAATAATAATTACTGTATCCAAGCTGGCTGCCATGTTTATCAACACATTTATTACCTAGAGAGAATGTTATTGATATCCCTAACCAGGGCACATTTACTATATCCAAAGTTTCCCAACATTTTAAATACAATTACATAGAGATAATGTCATTGATATATTCATAACAATACTCAAAAACAATACTTACAATCTAAAACATTGTTTTGTGAACAACAAATTTACAAATTGCAATTACTTGTCATGCTTACCCATTTTTCCTTTTCTGTACTTTATTTAATCAATTTTGTATGTCCATGAACAAGTGATGTACAAAACTTATTTTTATTTATTTTGAGATTATTTTAATTGCCATTTTGAAAGAAAATCTTTTTAATAGACTCATAACACTACTATGGTAGTTTTTTTCCTGTACTCGCTACTGAGTCTCTTAAATACAGGGTTTTTGAAAGTCTAAGTTGCAGTAGAGGCCAAGGCTGATACTGACAAAGGCCTGAAAATGTTCTAGGCAATGTTCTAGGTTCTAGGTTTTATGCACATAAACCCTTCTTTCATTTATTGTTATTGTTTTGTTATTATACTATTTTGCTGTGCACAGAAACTGATGTGGTTTTGTTCATGAATTCTGGGATGTTAATTTGGGATATCGACTTAGGGTTCAAAAGTATGAATATTATGTATGAAACAATGGAAAATATATTAAGTATGATATCCTTCTAACCCTACATGGCTTCTTCCTTCCCCTTAAATTTAAAAAACATAGCCTTTGCAGGGATCCAATGATCAGTCCAATGAAATGTAAAAAGAGAAGGGGTTCTAAATAAACCACACAGAGGGTTGATGTCAATGCAGTGATCAAACTGATTTACATTCAAAAATGTAAACTGTTGCAAAAACTAGAGAACACTTGTACTCCTAACTTCTAGAGAATGGACTGAAATCAGTAATGCAATAGCATATTATTCATGAAAAGGAATGCGCACATGCACAGAAAAATGTTTTTAATATATACAGAAATATATATATATATATATATATATATATATATATGAATATATATATATGAATATATATTTACATTTACTTAGAATGCTTTGCAATTGCTAATGGGGATTTATTACCTACTACTGGGGATTAGAGTTCTGTTATGGATGTACCTATAGCATCTTAGCAAATGAGACAGGGGAATGCCTGCTACCTGGGAAATAAAGAGGCCTTGAGGGTCTTTCAGTTTCTTTAATTTTATTTTTTATTGCTATCGAAGAGGGAAAACAACCAAAAGATACCTATACACAGGTCTTGGATCAGACATTATCTGACCTAAGATATATGTATAGATGACTTACCCTGTACACCAGCTGAAAAATATGAACATTTACAGGATTAATAAATTAATACTCACAAATGGCCTTGTGTTGTCATTATCTCAATGCAATATGACCTCTGAATGTTCAAGACTAGTTTTTTTTCAAACTATGTTTTGTATAGACTTCGAAAACTCTGTATTACTGTCTAAATTGCCCTGTACTATAATCATCTGCTTTATAAACTAATGAAAAAAACAGAAGCTGCCACATATTTACACATTGAACTCTTTACAGTAACAGAATCACATGGTTTACAGTTTGTTATTTAATTTTCAGTAGTAAGATCTCACTTTCAATAACATGGGAGCAGCTAACTCTACAAAGTGTGGTTTCCTTTAACAAAATACCACTACAATTTTCTAACTTTCTGTATAGTTCAATTGTTCAGATGTTAAACAAAATCATTCTGACTGATACAAAATATAATGTAAAAAAACTACCAACTCAGATTTATTTACAGTGGTGATAGGAACCAGGTCACAAAGTCTACAATGCAAATATGGCAATTTTATTTACTATCCAAACTGACTAATTAACCAGCACAGGTTTTATTATTTATTATTTATTATTTATTATATTTTTATGAAATGTAAAATAATGATAAATCCACAAAAATATGCTTTCTTTGAGAACAATTTTGCTGTACAGCGCGCTACATGTACCTCGCCACCATTGATGTCTTTTAAAAAACATGTTTTTGTCTCAGACATCAGGCAGCATATTTGTTACCATTTTGTGTAATGAGCTTTTAAAGGCATTAAACACTTCAGACATCTGGTTCCTTTACCATCAACAATTCTGATTTGGTCATTTTTTTTTTCCAGAATGGCTTGTTTCACATCAAATTGCTCTGATGAATAACTTTATATCTTAACAATGTAATTATGCAACAATTTTTAACAATTGGTGATACCATTTAGGTACTTTCCACAGTGCAATATATGCTATACTAATGCAATATATATGCAATATTTAAATTCTCTGATTGGAAATAGAATAAACTAGTATCTCCTGATTAAATCTACAACATGCATAATAAATAAACATATTGTAAGATGTAGTGTACAGATGCCACACTGGTTACAATTTTCAGTATTTCTTGCCATCTTACATTTAATTGATTTGTGCAAAAACAGCAAGAGAGTGCCACATGTGGTGTGTTCAGTTCACAAAGCTGCTTCTGTTTGTCACTTTCTGTAACAACCAACCCCCAGACCACCCAACTCTAGTAATAACCTCTTTCTACAATGTGATGATTCACACACCTTCAGATACCACCCGTCCCTCAAATGCTAGTAACACCCTCAGTTCCCCAAAATGCACACCTACCCACCCACCCACAAATTAACAAATGTCTCCTCCTCTTTTGTCTTGAAGTCCTTGTCTTTTGTCTGAACTCTGCCATTTATTTAGACAATGAAAGTAACTGCTCAAATGGGACTACTTTGTTGATTCAAAGAGGATGACATCTTTTAAAAGCCTCTCTAAATCGTTTAAACAGAAGTTCTGAAACTTTTTTCTTCCTCATGCTGTGCTCAGGGAGTTTTTTCCTTGGTACAACTGATTCAAAACAGATTATTGGGCCACTGTTGCCCATAATTTGTTTTTTAAAGAAAATGTTTTCAAGTGCTTCCTCAATTTGGCTGTCATTTCATTGTGCCCTATGGGGAGTGGAGATGAACACTAGTTCATCGTCACCTTCAGTTTTGTGGCCTCCCATGGAGTCTTTCCATGGAGTTTTCAAGTTTATATTTGTTTCTAACTAGTTTTTAATTTCTAAGTGAAAGGTGAACTAAAGACAGTAGACTACTGACCTGAGATCAGTCCACATCTGACTGATTTAAAAGGTCAAATCAACATGTGTCAACAAGTCGTGCCTGAATGTCTAACCACTACATCTAAACACATAACAGCATTTTTTCTTGGAGCTTATATATCAGCTCATAGGAGCTCATAAAATGGACAATGAGTGTAGAAACAAGGAGGTGGTCATAATGTTATGCCTGATCAGTGTATAAGAATATTAAGACTTTTGTCAGGGGAGTGTCATTGGTCAGTTAATACGCTAATGGCTAATAGTCACTTTGTGACAAGTCAGGCTGTTTTGGGAGATTTGTATGTCTTTCTAAAAAATACTTTTCTCAAAGTCATTCTTATTTTATTTTTGTTATTTCTTTTCATTATATGTTGATTGTACCAACTTTGTTAAGAAATATTTATGTGCTCGCATGAAGATTTGTGCAGATTGTCACAGCCATATAGTCTCATGGTGTTTATTTGTTTTTATTCATATCTGTACTAGGATTGCCTACAGAGTAAGAAAAACATATCAGTGTAGGAAGTAGCACTTTACAATTGAAATAAAGGCCAAACATATGCCAGTCAGCTAGGCATCAGTTAAAGCTCAAGCCATTTCTATCTGTGTGAAAGAATGATCCCTGTTATTGACACACAGACTGATAATAATGAATGATGACACCCTAAACTGTCTCTGTATATTGAATACTTTTGCATTAGTAACAGCAAAAAAGCCCTAAAGACATCACACAATCATTCTCGTTGATTGCTGCTGTTTGCGAGCGATCATCCATTAGTTTACAGGAATCTTGTGGTAACTTTATCAGACGGACTGTAATATGCTGATACATGTGTGTTTTTTTTTTAAACGATAGAAAAAGTGTTCACAAAAATGTGCTGAATATTTGCTTTACTGCTTTGTACACGTCATACAAAATCTAAAATGTCGTTTGATAATAGTAATATATAAAGGCTTTGGAACATTTCATGTATTATATACATCTTTGTAATAAAAATACAGATTTATTGAAAACATACTATATACATTTTGTACACTCATTACACATTATTCCAAATCCAAAACTACAACATATTTTAAAAATGTGTGATATTTAAATATTAAATATTTCCTTTCTACCAATAGACTCATGGTGGCGAACATCTCGGATACACCACAACGGCCATTTTTAACATATATAAGTAACATAACAGTGTCACTGATTTCCTAAGCATCGGTGGTCCTTCACAACCGAGCGCGGTATTTTCTACCCATTTTGAGACAAGCCCCAACTGTTGTGCTACATCTGGCAGGCTGCGGAAAAGAAAGAGTTGTCTGAATACGAATGGGGTACAAGCTAACCAAGTCTTTCAGCAGCTCCCTTCAGTGGCAGCCACACTCCTCTACAATCATGTCCTCATGGTGGCGCAGAACCACGTCGTCGCCCTCGTAATATAGCATAGAGAGCGAACTGAGACGAGTGGGCACGCAGGACGGACAGGTGACGCGCTCCGGATGATAGAGTTTCAGCAGACTCTGTGAGAAAAAAACAGTCCCATTTCAATTCCCAATGGCAACTAGCAAGTAGTTAAGCCACTCTGACCTTTGCCACGTATCAGTCATTGGTTGATGGATAAAAGACATATTTCCCTGATCTCGTCAACTAACAAGTCATTACTTGATGGCAAAATGCAGATTTGTCTCTTATCTCTGTAATTAGACTGTAATTAGAATAATGAACAAACGCTTCTAACGCATCTGTCATTGCAGAAAAGTTTAGACCATTGGGGTGACTTACCTGCATGTAGGCGTGATTGGTTGGCTTGAAGGATTCATCTAGCGGAATGGGACATTCGCCTTCGCAGCGGAACGCATTATATCGCTTGGGGTGCACGATCCATTCATTCCAGCCAATCTGATCGAAGTCCACCCACATGTCCACTCGCCTGCACAGCGGTCCCTGCGCGGACACCGCAGGAGAGCCAGTCACGCCTTCACCCAGGACCGGCCTAAAATGGTCCATCTCTATCCGGTTCCGCTTGTGCCGACGGTTCTGGGTGACGTCACTGGGGCGCTGCAGGACGACGTACTTGGAGTGTTCCACCGCGCGGAGTAAGGTAGGGGCGCGCACCTGACCTCGAGCCTGCGTACTCTTCGAAAACACTACGACCATGACCCTGTTTGCGGTGGGATGGTGGACTTTGCGCGTCCACCCGCTGCGGTGCTTTACTTGTACAGGCTCGGCCACGTCTCCTCCACTCCCCTCCACGGTGTCCTCTACTCCCATCTCCGCCTCCTCGTCTTGTTCGGATGTGGAATCCTCACTGGAAAGGGAGCGGTCCGTTTGATTCGGCTCCTTGCCGCTTTCTCGACGCAGCCAGTGTGTGAGCAGAACCGTCACATTGAAAACTCGCCAGGAGGAGGAGGAGGTTGAGTCGACGGCTGTGGGCTTTATGGTGCCGAGAAAGAGGGGCCGTTCACGGCAATGCTCGACGTCTGGCTCGCAGTCCTCTTGGCGAGAGTGGTAGAGATCCACGACTGCCCGCTTGGACGCGGCAAACGCGGGCACGCGGAAGCGAAGCTCACAAAGCTGAATTTCTTCACTGGCCGAAAGGGAGGACAGGTCGAAAGTGACCGTCCATCTCTCACCTGTCTGTTGACAGTCTGTAGGAAAATAGACCGAGCAGCCGTTAAAGACAGCAAAAGTCGTTCTGTCCATGCTCCGCTCACAGGGATGTACAACATGCAGTATTGCATTGAATTGTTTAGCAGTTTAATATATTGTGCAGTATGACAATAGTATGTCGCGAGGTTTGACAAACTTTGCAGAATGTTGGCAAAATCTCATTCAGCCCAAAGTTTGTAGCGCAGTGTATGTACATAAAAATAACATCTGAAAATGATATTAAATACGTTATGCTAAAATCTAATAAACGCTATATTAAAATCTAAAATGCTACACTGCTAAGCCAGACTGTGTTGTTATAGCTAGACTATGTTGCCAACGAAACAAAGATAAATGTTTTAGCTCAGTTACATAACAAAAAAACACCTTAACCTAATTATGTTGCCGTTCCCCTGTATACAAAATAAACACTATTCGAAATTAACCACGCCCCGGTTAGGCATTGATAGTGCGCTAGAGTTTCTCCTTAGGTTGAACAGGACTTTTGTCAACGTTCTGTAAAGGCTGTAGGTCAAGCCTCGGAACATAAGCTACGGTAGAGCACATTTGTGGGCGGAGCACGTACGGGTCAATTAAACCATTAAGGTGAATAAACGTGGTCATAGCAGAAACCAAGATGGAATAAACATAAACTTGATGGTCTACAGGTTCTGCCAGAGTAAAGTACTCCAGCCAAATGTCAACAGACTAGGCCTCCATGGGGAAAGTGTGAGAGGAGGGGGAATGTGTATTGAACGTCCCGTTGTAACAGACGTCTGATGGGCTAATACACACACCCGTACACATAAAACGGAAAAACTCTTTAAAGTCGAATAGGCCCTGACACTGCTGTGTTGTAAAAGGGGAGGATCAGACAGAAGGCGATAACACGAGTCCGATAATGAAGCCTGAAGTGATACAGCCCATAACTGTCAGGGCACCAGCCTGAACCTCTAACACTGCTCATATGTCCTTGATTCAGTTTGTATCGTTAGGCCACCTCAGAAGTAAAGGTTTCGACATAGGATATTTATCTGCATATAACGACCCACACAATAAAATGACCAATATTAAAATGTTAAGCCTGCATGCAAATTGCAGGACTGCTTGGAAATCAATGCAACACTATAATTTACGTTCAATTAAAATGATTAAAGATAATAATTATTATTGCATAATGATTATTTTTTTTATACACATATACACAACATAATTTAGCTAGAATTTTTCCTCAGGCAAAAAAACAAACAAACAGTCTAATAAAATATAAAACCATCACAGTGTTACATGTTAATATATCCAGTGCCTACCTTTAGCGACCAGACTAAGCACAGAGTCTGACTGATGGAGACTTGGTCTGGCATCCCTGGCTGTGCTGCTCTTCGCTGCGTTCACAGTTTTGTAGTCTCGATAGAGCTGCATCATGTACAGTGGGTACCTGTAGGGATGGTGCACAGCAACGCTGTACCCTTCATTTGTTGCCTTAGAAAGCCCTACACGAGGTCTTGTCTTGTGCTGGATCCCCATGCAGCCGAGGCCTGCTAGAGCAAATACCAAAGTGGCAAAAAATGCCATTCGACCCATCGCTTCAAGAAGTGTCTTTTATATACGCTAAAAGTCTAAATGTTGCAGCTTCCTAGGAGGACGCGAGTGGAGCTCTTCTCAGTACATCTGCTTTCTAGCTTTGCTGTGTAGTCTGGGCCTTGGACAAGGCTTTTAAAGCATCCAGCTGGCCTTTGATGACCCCTGTCATCCTGCAGCCTCTGAAGAATCCCTCTGATCCTTCAGGCACATCTGAGAAGGAACAAGAGTGGAGCTGTCAAGTTCAGTGTCTCTCGAAACCTCGCACGCTTTTATATGCACGAGGCGCGAAGCTCCTACTACCAGCATACGACATCGACTTCCTTTGATTCGAGGCCACCCAAGGACAAAACGGCGCAATTAATGCAACAATCTGTTCCTCTGGCCATTCAATGAGCGGAGCGCACAAATAAGCGACATTTATTATTTAATATAGTTGAAAGTATGCTGCGAATTACAGAGCGATCTTATGAATGTCTTATAGCTTTGCGGCTCAGATCAGTTTACAGTAGCCTAGTTAGACGCGCTCTGCGAGAAAGGTTTTCTGACTTGCTTATGTGCAAAACTGAAATTAAGCAATAAACAAGCTTTATAGGTAGTTTAAAACAGGAGTACAAGACAAATTAGACTGATGAAATGTTTTTGAAATGAAAAATGTAGCTGAAAAGAAAGATATGTACATTCATATCACATTTAAAGCATATTAGCGACAACAATAATAATACTTATTATTATTATTAGTATTATTATTGTTGTTGTTGTTGTTCTTCTTCTTCTTCTTCTTCTTGTTATTATTGTTGTTGTTGTTGTTACTGTTACATCAGTGGCTGGAATGGATTTCAAAAATACTGACTAACCAAGAATTTTATTTCTAAAAAACAAATATTCTAATCTCCTAATCAGTGCTGAACCTTTCCTTAGCTTCTCAGCTTTATTCTGTGATCTAGAAGCTCTTTCTCATGTTTTTAAGATAAAGACCTGTAGAAACTTCTACACCTTTTAGCCCAGATGTGCCTCTTTTGGTGGTACTCTAAGTGCCATATTTGGCAACTCAATGAAGCCACTCTTTTAGAAAATGACAAAGTTTTGCAGTCATTAATAAACAATGAATTCTCAAATTGTACCAAAGTAAAGTATGGTGTCCCACAAGGCTCCAATTTTTCCTAGCAAAGACTTATATTTTGTTATATTATATGTTAATGTGATATTGTTCCCAGTTACTGTCATTGCTAATAACTTATAGTTACACTGCGCATGCCAAAAATATACAATTCAAAGACATAAACAGAAATCTAGAAATGTACCATGGTACTTGGGCTACCTTTGTCTGGCACTAGTTCACCAGATAGCTGCCAAAATACTACTCGTGGTGAGCTTATGTTGTTTATAAATACGACTTATTGTCCATTTATTGCTTGTAAAATTAAAGCTAGACAATAGCTAGCTAAACAAAAGACAGATTGAAGTGTGATTGCAGACAATCGGGGAAGATGTGCTTTGTGGAGTTTTGTTGTCACTAATAAGCATTCATGACACCAATCGATAGGGAGTGAAGGGAGTCAGTGAAAGAAAGAGAAATATTTGTCCTCACGATACAGAATCAAAATGGTCTAGCCCTCATATTCCGTTCATAAATTACATGGTTTACAGTCCAGTTTCGACCGCGACAGCTAAATCATAACAATCACAGAGTGCATTTTACAGCCATACCGCTGTAGGCTATGTCAACTAATTTATGATCACAATAATTTACGAGCGGAAAATATGTACATTTTGAACCATATATTATTTACCTTTTACACACTGGAGGACACGAGCAAATTGAGCAAAAAAGCCTAAATGAATAACGTGCATTATTTTTACACACCTGCGCTTGATGTGGCTTGGTCATGCCCAAAGCAGCAGTGTGTGACAGTGTTGTGCATATCTTCGTGTATTTTTTAAGTAGGCCGTTTGGGTGAATTTAAGATAAGAATCACCACGAGTCTGACAGAACTGAAATAATTAATTTTCAATGTATAATTGTGCCCTGTGATGGACTGGTGACCTGCCCAGCGTTGGGATAGGCTCCAACAACCCCCCGCGACCCATGAAGATAAGCGGCTTAGATGATGAGTGAGTGAGTGAGTGAATGAATGAATGCATAATTGTAGGCTGTAATGCTAATTTCAGTGTGCTTTTGGATCTGAAAAATGTTATTGAGTGCACAAATTGTATGTAGTCATGTTCAGTAAATGTTTAATAAAAACATTTTATACGAATAGTTTGTAGGCCTATTTAGTAAGACATGATGCAACTGAAGCATGCCTTAGGTTGATATATTATCAAAAGACTTTCTGCATTTTGTATGAAGAATGTTAAAAAGTAATACAGCCATAAGGCAAGACATTAGTAGCCAATCCTAGCGCAGGAGGCGGGGCTTGTGGAATGCGGGTGGCTGGGAAGCCGCGTCTAAAATGTGCTTGATGGCGTAAAAAAACACCAACAGTTAGCAAAGTGAGCAACGCTGAATCTGACTGGTTAAAAGCGAAACTAGCCCGCCTTCCATCCCTCCTCCGTCATTGCGGCCTCTTATTTGGGCGTGTAATGCTGTCTATAACCGCAGTGGGCTTCATTTTCATTCTCACATCAACCTCCTACTGGCATTTTAGTCTTAACTTACACCATGTTTGTGGGATCTGCTGTGACATGTCTGCTCGCCCTTGCGAGTGTTCTGCCAGCAGGTAAGATGAGAACTTGGCTTTGATTTGTAGCTCGTTCGTGATGCATGTAATCTTTGACCAAATGGAATAACGCAGTCTTGCCATTTCCGTAATGGCAGTACTGATAAATTAACCCGCACGTGATTCCAATGACTGGACGTACTTTTTACCATTAGGGCTGTTAATTATGCTCTGTCTAAAGTCATCCGCGGTGTCCTGACTGATTTTCCATCTGCAAATAAAATCAGTGGTCTTTGTTGGAGTTTTTAAGTAGGTGTGTGTTTTAATAAACTGCAGTGTCTCAGACTGCTGTCAAAACTGATGAACTCTGTTTTTACCATACATCTTCATTATGTTTTAAAATCACTGTACGCACTATGTAGGTTTTAGAAAGGGTTTCTTAAGTGGATTTTTTTCATGCAATGATGAGAAGGCTGAATCCTCATAAAATATTTAGCATGTTTTTTGCAGAAATGCTTATTCGACCTCTGCATTACTCCACATAGCTATACAGTAAGAAATCCTACTGATAAAAAAATAACTTTAAATAACATAAAAAGAACTTTCTCTGCTGTAGGAAGGAAGCAAGAAAACCATCTTAATTGTTATTTTGGCTAAAATAATTGATAAAGAATTCTTGTAAATTCTTGTAAATATTGACCAGACAAGTATTTCTTGTAAATTATGTTAGTTCAAATACTTTACAAATATTTTTTGTTTGTAAACATACAGTCATTCCAAATTTGATGGCTGTAACACATTCCAAAAAAGTTGGGAGGGAAGCATGTGTTGGATCACCTTTCCTTTTAACAGAATTTTATAAACGTTTGGGGACTGAAGACACCGAGTCGTCCAGCTTTGAAAGCAGAATATTTTGTCCATCTTCTATTACAGAAGTCTTCAGGTGTGCAACCTTGCAGGGTCCTTGTTATCTGGATCACACGCAGAATGTGGATTGGTGTTGTCATGTTGAAATAAGCATCCATTATTTCCATAAATAATCAGAATACACATTTCTACCATGCATAAGTACAGTTTCAGATGAGCTCAAGCACAGAGAAGTTGTCAGCGTTTCTGGATGCTGTTGACATATGGTTTCTGCTGTACATAATATGTTTATTGACAGCGGTTTTCAAAGCATTCCTGAGCTCATGTGGTGATATCTATCACAGAAACATGCCGGTTTTAATGCAGTTCCTTTGTGCATGGAGATTTCTCTGAATTCCCTGAAGATTCCCTGAATCTTATAATGATATTATGCACTGAACGAGCTGAAATACTTAAAATCCTTGCAACCCCTGGCTGAGGAAAGGTATTGTTAAACTGTTGGATTATTTGCTGGTGCATTTTTGCCAAAGTGGTGAGCCTCAACCCATCCTTGCTTATAAAGAACTAGGCCTTTCCTGGATGCTCCTTTTATATCCAAGTATGATTGCATCACCTGTTTAAGATATTTTTTGAACATGTCACAATGTTCTTCGTCTTAAAAAAGTGTTGCAGGCATTAATTTCACAACGAGCATATATTGTAAAAAAATACAATGAATATAAAAGTTTATGTTCAAATACAGGGCAAAGTATTTTTATAAATCACTACTTACTGTTTTTATATGCATTTTACCCACTGTTGCAACTTTTTTAGAATTTGAACAGAATCTGTTCAATATTCTGTTTAGATCTAACTTAGTTTTCTGACAGACTTATAACATTAGTCACTGACTTATCTCATGGACCTTTCTCCAGTTTGATCCAAGTGCTTCTCTTTAATCTTAACTGTAAACCTCTGCTGTACTAGTTCAAAGCCCTGTTGTCTGATGTGGCCCAGGTTAGGATGAGTTTCCTTTTTTAAGTCTTGGTTCCTCTCAGAATCTCTTCTTCATAGTCTTAGTGAGTTTTTCTGCCACTGCGTAAACCCAGATCTATGTAAAGTGGATTTGTGATATTGTCTGTTTATAAAAAAGCTACATAAATAAAATTTAAATAAATATCTGTGAAATAATAAAAAGTAACTAACGCTGCCCCACACTACGCACCACGTTTTTGGGCTGTTTTGTCTGAATGTAATAACTTTGTGTTCTTGCAAATCTGCAGGTTCTTTTCTGTTTAGCTGTACCCTTGTGTTCCTCTGTCAGATCAGCTGTGGTGATGACTGGGTATTAATGTTTCAGTGTTGTGTGACTTTATTACAGGGCAGACAAGAATCATAGGGCCCCGCTCTCCACCACTGAAAACGTCCAGCCTTTCAATGGTAACTGAATACTCTTCTTTCATCTGGCTATAGGCCTGTCACAATTATGACATAATAAATGATTATTTGAGGTGATCACAGATAATGTAAGCTCATCATAATTATTTTCTTCAGTCAGTTTTCACCATCTTTTACTTTGCAAGGAAAAAGGAGTATGAATTGGGATGGCATTTTTTATCAATAGAGTTGACAAAAGTGCATGTGAATAAAAGAAAGCAGAAAATGCATTTGTGTCATGGTTCTTACAAAAAACAAAAATTCTGACTAGTGTTAGAACAGCTTAGGAGTGCAGCAGTGATCTTTTAATTTTTTAAAAAAACTATTTATTTAAAAAAAAAATAAAACTGTGTTGGATAGTGCCCTGTTCCCCTCAATGTTTCCGTAGTGGGCAAGTCTTTGGCCTTTTAACAGGTTTTGCAAGACAGTGATACATTAATTTTGCACTTATTTTTGACAGAACAATAAAAAGGGGTATATTTTAATGTTTCCCAGCACCCACATATGAGGCTTTTTTTTGGCTGAAAATGAATTCAGATGATGGAAGTTTTCTCCTATATTAACAATAGAAATTGATTTTTAAGTTGCAACACAGCAAGCAGTATGTCAAAACATAAGATCTTTCAGCTCAGTTCTTTTTTTAAAACTATGTCTTTATCATAGAAAGCGTGTCAGTGGGGTGGGAAGAGTTTCACTTCTTCTTTTACATAAACAAGACTATGTGTGAACATGTGTGAGCGGTGCGATCTATAAACTGATTGATATTTAAAAAAAACAAAGGGGAATAAACATGCTAGAGTTTAAAATGAGGACCTGAAAATGTGTTTGTTGCTATAGAGGAGGCTCACATCTACATTTTTTGTCTGTTCTGAACCTGAAAAGGGGTTGTGAAAGTCATTTTTGTACCTATGTACTGTCATGTGCTGCACAAGCATTTTGGTGGTTTTCAACAACCTGCAGAAATTCACACAGAGGTGAAAAAAATACATTTTAGTTTCAACACACTCGTTGATTCATAAATAGTGCAGTAGAACTACGCAAGACAATTAGGTAGATGTAAACTTTAATTATAGTCATATGCAAAAGTAAGTATGCATAGTTATATGCAAAAGTTTGAACACCTAGTCAAATTACATGTTTTGTTGATTTTGAAAATAAGTAAAATGTAATTTCTCTAAATTTTAGTGTGTTCAGAGTTTATTTTGCACAAAAAAACATAATATCTGGCCTGTGCAAAAGTTATGGCACTTATATACCCCCAATATGTTAAACTCAACATTATCAAACATAAAGTCATGTAAATTTTGTGTCATAACTTTTGAACAGACCATATTTTGTGTTTTTTGTTTTGTTTATGTGTTAAATTCAGCAAATAAATACTTAGTATGTTATCTGCAGGGCATGTGTACTTACTTTGACTTAGAAAATCAACACAAGTCATTTAAGCAACGGTGTGCAAACTGCTGTAGATGTATATGCAAGATACTTCACCATGATACTTTATCACTTTTTCAGCATTTTCCTTGCAATATTGACCAGAATACAGCAAAACAAATAAGCATTTCAAGTTTCAGCCAAGACTATGTAGGACCAACTAATAATTTACTCTCCTCTCTAGGCTGAAAACACTTGCAGCGACTGCACCAAGATCATTGAGCTTTTTTTGGACATGCTCTCCAAACCAGACACACAGGTGAGTGTGAATAGGGCGGTTGCACAATACGTTTTGAGATATTTTCATTGAAGAATTATCAAAGACTGTATAATGTGCAAAGGCCAACATATCTCTCCCATGTGAAAATCACACTATTGCACTATATCTACAAAAAGCAAATGTCTTCTGTAGAACTTTATTTGCAGAACTGAAAATGTTTCATGGCTGTGTAGCCTATTTGAAGCTTTAAGGAAGTGCAAAAATTGTGGTGTGACTTTCATATATTATTCAAAAACGGTTTCGAGCAAAGGTTATTGGAGATCACTTTGGTGGTATGACGGTCAAAGAAAAAGGTTTAAAGCATTTTGGAAAGCATTCAGCATTGTGCAAAAGTCTTGAGCATTTGAGGAAATTATATGTAAAACCATTTATCAGTGCAGTAAGCATTTTATTGTAAACATTAATTGTTTTAATTAAATATAAACCAATAATCAATTTAACAATACATGGTGATTTGATGTGTGTGAGTGTGTTAGCTTAGCCATTTTCAAATCTCTCCTTAAGGAAGCCCAGTATTTTGTCACGGTCAGACAAAAACCTTGTATCTCCAAACGATAGCTTAACAAGAGAAGAAAAAAACATTCTCTCAATGTAAGTTCATGTAACATGATTTTATTGCAAGCAATTTTGGACCACTTGTCATTGACTTTTACAATGTCAAGGGCAGCTGGTATTTTCAAATTATGTCAAAATAGAAGAAAGATGAAACAGGATTTTGTTCCAGCAGCGTCGTTTTACAGTTACCATAAAGTACCTAGTTTATCTAATCAATCCTTCATTAAACTACTTCAGGTGTGCTTCATTGTAAGCTAAAACAGCATAGCTGAGTGTGGCTGGGATAAATGTGGAGAAAGTTGCTGTCTTGCTGTAGTGTGTAGAACTTATAGAATAGTGGTCACAAACTGCTCCCGGAGATCTATCTTCCTGCAGACTTTCGCTCCAACCCTAATCAACCCTGCCTGAACCATCGAATTATTGCTTTCAGAAGTCTTTAATTAGCTGAAGGAGATTTTAGATTTGAGTCGGAGGTGAAACCTGCAGGAAAGTGATCTCCAGGAGGTGACCACTGCACTAGAGTATCGATTTCAGCTTAAGCACAAACTTTGGTCTCACAGTACTGTAATTTTTTTTTTATAGGAACTGATCAGAGACTCTGTCAATCAGCTTTGTGGTCGTCTTCCAGGGACAGCAGCCATTACTGACTGTGTTGAAAAAGTGAAAACATATCTGCCAGTTGTCATAAAAGGTTTCATTTCTTTTGCTGTAAGTACATCCCCATCATGTGCACATAGTCCTTTAACTTGAATGACTTGTAACTGCCTGATGTTCAGTAAATGTTAGCATTCTGACATTTTGGACCTGACATGAAATGTATAATTTTTTTAGGAAATGATTAATTGTATCTTGAAGTCTCATTTCATGACAAACATTAATAATTTTCATACAATTTAGAATCATTTAAAAAAAATACACTGAATGCACAAACATGACTGAACAAGATATCATGACTGGATAAAATGTATGCATTTACACAGTAGTGAAATACAGACAGTACACAAAGTTTTTCTATAAATATAAGTTTAAGAATGGCCTGAGAACATTATTTTGGCCTAAAAAAATGAACGCACACATTACTGACAATTCAATTATAAGTAATTTAGAACATGTTTATGTCTGTGTTGGCCCATAGATACATAAAGAGGGTGACATCTGCATGGTGCTTGGACTGTGTGCAGTCCAGCAAGAAAGCAAAGCACCAGAGGTGCTTCATGTTAGCCTGGAAGCAGTTGGTTTCCTCCAAGCACAGCCTTCAACAGGGACTAGTCATGAGGTATGCTGACGTATTTAGGTTCAGCAGCATTGCCCAATTCTACTCCTGCTCTCCTATAAAGTTCAGTTCCGTATCATGGAAAATGTAATATTCCTTACTTTTTTTTGATGTAATTCATGAGTTTGATGTAATATGAAACCATTGTTAATGTTTACTCTCCAGTCTGTCCATATATGGAAACTAATTTAAATGGAAACCCCAAAAGCAGTCTTATTTTATACTGATTTTATTGTTTTTGTCATGGTTTGTTGACTTTCTAAGTGAAAATAAGTTATCCCCTACAGGGAATAAACATAAATATGGCATTTTCTGCTAATTTAAGGTTATTTTTATTTGCCACATAAAATGTAAAATGTGCCATAATGTTTGCACAGCAACATTTTATGTTTTCTTTTTTCCCAAGCAACAGTAATAAAATGTTTGCAGAGCAATATTTTATGCTTTCTTTTTTCCCAAGCAACAGTAATTATACATTAAAATGTGCGGAAGTGTGTTCTATGTAGAGGATGTGTACTTATTTTAACTTAGAAAATCAACAAAGCATATAATTTGACCGGGCTGCCCAAACTTTCATATGCACCTGTCTATGCACCTGTCTATGCGCCTATTCTGCCTACAGCAGTTTAGCTCCGCTCTCTCCACTCACTGTAGAGTTGATCAGCAGGAAGAAGGGTTGGACACCCCCGATTTATAGCATGTCTGCTTATCTTGCTGTTCGTTTTATGATTTTAGATAAGCATCTAAATTGCGCTACTTGGAACTTCCTCTTTTAAAATCTCACCCTGTTTTCTTCTGCCAACAGGTGCAAATCAGTCCCCAATGCACATTCTGTCTTTTTATCATCAAAAAATTGGAAGATATGTTGCCAAAGGAGAGAACCGAAGTAAGTTTTCTTTACTGAAGCGGCCATATCACAGAAAAACAAATTTTCCTTTGATTTTTTTGAAAAAAACTTCATGAAGAAAAAAGGTGCTTCTCCCAGCTATAGGGGAGGTGCTAACAAAAAAGGGGGTGAAGGGATGAAGGCCTTGCATGTAGGCCAAATTGTCATGTTTTTAACCAAAGTTACATGTTTACTGAGGATAGAATGAGCGTTGCAAATTTTCACTTGAGACCCCCTTTTTTGAAAAACTGACTGTTCTATATAGTCCATATATGGAAACTACAGTACTGTAAAAAAGTCAGAGACCACTCTTTATTTACTTAATTTACAGTGAAAACGACCACAAGCTGTATATATATATTTTTTTTTTGGAGAGATTGGTCCACTTGCCTAAGGAATGGAAAGTCGAAGGAAAATAAGGGAAAAGTAGTGGCTTCAGTTTTCAAAAGTGAGTTTAAAGCTCCCGAGTGGCGCAACCGTCTAAGCGTTGACCCTATCAGGAGATCGCGAGTTCGATCCCTGGTGATGCTACAGCCATCCGTAGCCGGGAGTCCGAGAGAGCATAATTGGCCTGGGTGGGTAGGATGGCCCCCCCTTCTCCCCCCATCACTCAGCGCGATGCTAGATAGCGCAGGCGTCTGTTAGCTGACGTAACAGACCTGGCGGTTGGCGCTCTCCTCCGAGCGTGTTTAGCTGTCGTTGCGTGAGCGGCAGTTCGAAAAGAAGCAGTGGCTGGCTTCACAGGTCTCGGAGGAAGCCTGTGTTAGCCTTCACCCTCCTAGCGTTGATAGAATCGTGTGATTGGGGGAGTCCTAACTAGCGGGTGGAATTGGAGACGACTAAATTGGGGAGAAAATTGGGCAAAAAAAAAAGTGAGTTCAAAATAGTATTAAAATATATAGAGAGATTGGAACTCTTAATAACCATCCAAGGCCTGGCAGAGCACCAAAACCGTGACCATCAGAGAAACAGTAAAGCTTTCATCTATGCGAGATACAAGAAAATCAAACTTCACTCTAACAGGTGTTGACAGGTATTGCTGTCTATCCCTCCACTGTGAGAAGACACTGGGCCTTAAAGGATTTGTAGCTTGTCAAGAAGACGTTACTGAGAAAATAGACAAAAAAGAACAAAGAACACCATCTTAAATACTAAGGTTTTATAGTCTGATTTTGTAATTGGGATAATTTGGATTTTGAGAGGTAAAGTAGAAAATACAACCAACTTCTAAGACTGACCTTATTTATAAAAAGCATGCAAATTACAAGAAGCATGACAAAATATCCCTGCAGAGAAAAACTGAAAGCAAAAGAAAGCAAAAAAAAAGATATTTTTCTGTAAGAATTTCTATGTAATGTTCTGTTAAATATATTCTTTCTGCTTTTTCCCTGATGTTAACAAAATAAATAACTTTTACTTAATGGCTATTTTAACTGGAAATAAATCAATGATTGGCTGGTCTCTGATTTTGCACAGTACTGTAAGCTGCAAAAACAGCCAATTTTGAATTCATTGGGGTTGTGATATTGGCATAATACTGGGCAGCAAGAGGTCATTCACATATATCACTCTTAAAGACACAGCAACAGAAAGTCTAAGAGACTAAGAAAGTTTGGAAAAAAAATGGTCAAAATTAATTAGGGCTATTTTTGGTACATGGTACCACATACATTTTAGACTTTTTATAAGCAAAATGTAGAATATGGTCCCTTTAACACTGTAGTGTATATGATAAAAGATTAAAAGTGCACCAATCCTAATATTGAAAGCTGATAATCTGAACTCTGTTATAGAAAAGTATAGTGGAGGCTCTGGAGAAAATCTGCAGCTACTTGCCTGATCACTACAAAGAGCAGTGCAACAACTTCTTGGAAACGTATGGCAAGCAGATCATTGACTTCCTGCTCACCTCTGCCACTCCCCATACAATATGCACTCTGCTACACATGTGTCTTGTACAGGAGAGACCTGCTATGGGTAATTAGAGAAAATAAAGTGCATTTATGACTTTGCAATTGCAAGACTGTTGCAGTTCTCTCTCATTTCAGTGCTATACAACTCCTGTTACAAACATTTCCAGCACAGTCAGCTCATACCCACTCTTGTACTTCTCATCCTGCTACTTCTCATTCTTCAGTGCCCTACCTGCCATCGGACTGTCAGTCTTGTAAAACACTGGTGATCCTGACCCAGATTGGCCTGGGCCAGAATGCTACTGAGCATCAGACTTCCTCTATGCTCTGGAAGACATGCCTTCACCACCCTAATGCACTTCCAGGGGTAACAGTCATAACACTGGCATTGTATCTTTTATTATTAAAATTGATGTTCACTCAGACCAGCACACATTGGTGAATTGGTAAATTGGACCCTTTATGTCATTAATTGACCAGTCGAATATATGGCTAGTATGTTAATATGGCTGACAATGAAATGAAGCTGAATTTTCATAATCTCAGCATAGGCAAGTGTATTTAAGATTATTTAACAACTCAGAATGGTTAATTGGTGTGTACATTTTCTATATTTGTTGGCTTCATTAGCTTCATAACTCAAGTGTAAAACTAAAAAAGCAACCATCAGAAGGAAAAAATGTTATTGGCTGATTGACTATGTTTTGGTAAAAAAAAAAAACTTAACGTAAATTTGATCTCAAGTCATTACTCATCACCCAATCATCACTTTAAACCGTGATTAGCATGTAGTTACTAAGTAATATTTCTAATCAATTTTCATTCTCCATGCTTTCGCAGTGTGAACTGTTTATTCAGCGTCATGGCCTGGCGCTAGTGAGGATTCTGGGAAAACAAGACAAAGCCGTAACCACATGCCAGGTAATCTTTCAAGTCAAGCAAAATAATTTTTTCCACTCCCAGCTACTGAGCTAAATTCCTTCATTTTATACATTCTGATTCAGCCAATAGGGACATTGTATTTGAATTTCAAAGGATAACTTAGGAAGCCAAGTCTGTACACAAACACTATTGGCTTGCAAAGCTATTGACCAAAATTTTGATATTACAAAAGTCAAAAGATGAAAGAGGAATGTGGCCAGAAACAGTTCATATAGATAACAACACAGGAAAAATACAGTATAATATAGCAATATTTTGAGTTTAAAATAACAGTATAGATACATGGAGGCCAAAGTATTTAATTTTATTAGTAAATTAATACTATATGTGTATTAAGGATATTAAACCCAGACTAATATATTACCAGAATCCTTTAATTCATACCACAGTGCCATTTCTTATGGTGAGCCCAAGGCATCTATAAGGGGTAGTTGTCAGGAACCATTAGAAAACATGAGTGGATTGCACATGGAAGAATGAGGTTTTATCCCATAATATCAGTATGGGTCACTTGGCTAGACTCCTAAAATTACATTCATCTGCCCTAAAAAATGCCCTGTATAATAGTGTTTCCTAAATATTCAAATTTAAATGTTTGTCCAGTTAAATGTTTGTCCAAATAAAAGCATCTGCTTTAAATATAAGAATAGTTTTTGAATACTAATTTGTCTACTTCACAGTTCTTTTTTGCTTCAATAAAAAGACTGAAGGGAGATGAACAAAGTGTAAACTTTATTATATATAAAAGTCTTCTTTTGGTGGAATAACTTATGGTCAAAATGAATAAACTGCATGGTCAAATCACAATTATTAGCATTACAAATATCACAGTAGAATTGTGTTGTGGCTCAAATGTTGCAATATCATATTGGGGGTTTGCAGCGGCTCCAACCCCAAGACCCTATATATGCTATAAATCCTATTTGTTGGCAATTTAAAAAGGCTGGTATTACTTCTGATTTCTTTGTGGCAGCAGAAGCAAAAGGAGATCCAACAGATCTCCAAAAGCCATGCACATCTATAACCAAAATATATATATATTTTTTTTTAAATACTATACAAAAGGCCTCTTTTTCTAATTCTAATCTAATTTCTTACTCTTCTTTCATTTTTCAGGAGTTCTTCTGTAAGGGACATGAATAGCATGGTGGAGCTTCAAGCAAAGAACCCCTTGACAATTTGACGATGTTTAATTTGCATTCTGTCTGTATTACCTCATAAAGGCAGAGTACCAAGATCAACAAATGGGTGATTTACAAATGGGTTTTTATCGTGACAATCGTTTTGCAGCCTTGTTCAAATATTTTTTTTTCTATGCAGAAGACACTTTTGCTTTTTAAAATAAATCCTGACTACAGATCCCTAAAAGCAATCTTCTGCTTTATTCACAGAGAACCATGTTTCTATTCACATTTTATGTTTTCACACATTTGTGCAGTATGCCATTTATATTTTCCCCTCAGACCATAAAAGCTGTTCATAAGGTCAAATTAAAAGTTACATGCATGCAAACGTGCCCAATGTTTGCATGCAAAGCCAGTCTCTAATCATTAGTAATGTATCAGCCTATTCTTTCTCTTGGAATTTGAATGACATTCTGATGATTCTGGTCAATAAGAAATGTATTCTGTATTGGTACAATGTTTTCTGTGACATACCAATAGATCAGTTGCAACTGAAATATCACACACTGAGTATGCTTAAAATTTTTAATAAACAAATGGCATTTTTTCTAAGAAAGCTCAACATTTACATACATTTTAGTACAAAATGGTATGAAGGTCAGAATTCAGAGGTCAGAGTCAAGGCCTTCAGTGCAGACATTCTGCTCTTAGTCTGAGGACTACTAAACTTCAGCACCTATTATGCCCCTGTATGGCTGTTTCCTTTTTCTTCAGTTTCTTGTCTCTTCCATATCTGAAACACATTAACATTCACAGTTAACTAAGTAATATTCACCTTTGTCAAATTTTCACCAAATTAAAGGCCCCATATCATGAAATAAAAACAAATCTAACTTTTTTTGAAATAACAGTTTGATGTATGTAAACACTGCTAGCTTCAAAATATACCATTCACTCCCCAGTCCATAGGGTCCATAAATGGAAACTACGCAGCACAACAGCCTGTTTTGAATTCACTGTTTGTGTTCTTTAGTAAAGACAAATGTTTCTATATAGAACAATAAGCACACAAAGAACCATATGCATGTTTAAAGGAGAATGTTAGTAAATGGTTTTATATAGAACCTTTCTGAAATGGGTTCTACATAGCACCAAAAAGTGTTCTTCTATTGTTACAAGCTTGACATCAGATATGGGGCCTTTAAAGGACCCAAACCTTTATTTCAAAAAAGCATGAAAAGGAAAGAAAAAACACATTTCATTGACCATTTTACCCAGAAGCCTTAAGAACAACATATAACTTTTTCAGTATTTAGTGTGTTCACACTTTGCCTTTATTATAGCTACCATTCTTTCCAGGAAACTTGGTTTCAGTTGCATTTAAATCTGCAGGAATATATCCTTTAATGCTTCTTGTGAACACTTCTAAAGTTCAGTCTTAGAAACTGGTTGAATTTCTGCTGCTCTGAACTTCTGACCACAACATGGTCCAACATTTCATAATATAAGACAAACAAAAGAAGCAAACCAGAAACTATGACAGTCGTATATGGACCAGGGGCAGCAGTGAAGCCCATAAATGGTGCTTTCTTTGTATTCACTGGGATATTTCTCATGAAATGGATCTGAACAATGTAACTGGGACTATAAGTGGTTATATAAACATTTTGTGTAGACAATATAATCCTGTAAAAGCTCATCAACATATATCCAAATAACAAACCATATACAATCAAAGCCATTACAGATTTGTATATATTGAAGAAAATAGCCTTTATAAATGGAGATCAAATAAAACTCAAAATTCTTGAAAGGGAATGTAAAAATAGACTCAAGGATGACAGGAAAAGATATAAAACTCCTGAACAATGAAAAATGAAATTTACATGAAAGTTACAACTAACATGAATCGAGCTAAGTGATGCCTTAGGACAGTAGGTGACAGACAAAAAGCAAGTTAACAGATGGAGTTTTACTGCAGATTTGAAACTCAATCTTCCTACTGGCTTTGACAGGATGTTATAGGCAATTCCTGCACTGAACCAGACTGTAGCAACTGAGTCTTATAAAGTTCATGCTAGTACTAAAGACCAGTTTTGAGATCGTAATTTAATGGTTTCGATCCTGTCTTGGCCTCAATATCATTTGGACTTTGGTCTTGTTTTGGTCTCAGGGTGAGGTACACTTGGAAATTGTTCTTGGGACTGATTGCAATACCTCTGTCTAAAGTAACTGGACACTGATTAATTTGCTATTATTACTGAATATAAACAATACCTTCAAACAGAATAAAACTTTCTTTACATGTTTAAATAAAATCTGTTCACTGCTGGTTGAGGATCTAATCGATCTTTTCCATGATGGCTTAACTGGGTATTATTTGTTTGTTGATGTTTATTAGTTCCAAACACTCAAATGTTGTTATTACTGTTTTCATTTGATAATAAAATGGATGTATCTTGTTTAGCTTATATTCAGTTGACTTTAGGTGGTGATCCTAAATAAGTTTTAGAGGAGAAAGGACAGAGAAAGACCTCACCATAATTTGCTGCCAAAAGTTACAATGAAAAGTTGGACTATAACATAATAACAATGTTATAGTATTTAGTATTAGTATTTTAGGCTGTACATACATTATAAAACAATGTTATGTCAACTTATGTATAATGAATGTACAAAGAACTACAAATAAATTTTACTTTCTCTACCAATTAGCTCATCAGCAGGGTAGAACTACAGATAATGCCATCAGCTGCCTAACAAATTTGTGTCAGGATATTTGGAAGACTCTCGGTCCTTATGCACGCCTATTGTTCATTGATTTTAGGCAGGCTTATAATAGTCACCAACCTTATAGTTCAATTCAGAAGTTGCAGGGTCAAGTGTTATCATAATAAAATGATACCTTTCTTTTTTAATTGACTGTCTGCAGTAAGTGAGGGTTACTAAAACTTTGACAGAACCAAGATAAGTAAGCACAGGTGCCCCTCAGAGCTGGGTCAGTTCTCCTGTCTTCTTCACATAATACACAAATAATTTCGCCAGCAGCCATTCAGAGAATTATGTTATCAGGTTTTCAGAAAACACTGCAATTGTCTGCAAAGTCAATCTTTTTATTTTACTGAAATTGAAAGTTTTGTAAAATGTGATTGTAACTACCAACTTCAAAATGCAAATAAAACAGCCCAATAAAACAGCCCATAACCCAAGCCAGCTCTTATAAATATTTAGGGGTCTATATTGACAACAGACTAAGTTTAGAAAGTCATGTTAAAAATATCTTTGTTTTAGATTACAACAGCATATGCATTTTTACGAAGACTTAGGGCTGTTGTTGTTGACCAAAATTCATGTTACTTCGCTATCACGCAGTCTTAGAGAGTAGTATAAGATATGGTATACAGTGTGGCATGGTAACCTGTCAATCAAATTAAAAAGCCAAATTGCTTGTCTGGTGAAGATCACAATGGAACAAAAGCGTTCAAAGTTATTTATCTCCGCAGACAATCTATGTGGTAGACAGGCAGTGAAGAAGGTGTTTGACTCTACCTATGTTCTCCTCTCATAATTCCAGCTTTTACCCGCAAGTAAAAGATTTTTTTTAAACCTCTAAAAAGCCAAAAGGTAATGGATTATAGACGGGCATTCCTGTGCAATATTTCTGCAGGGGGCCTACACACAACATCTATAATAGGTGTATGTGTTATAAGAGGTGTATTGTCACTTTGGAATGCCACTAGAATATGAAATGGAGGAGTATGCTTGTGGAAGTGTGATTGTAGGGTAGGGGAATGTGTTTTTTTGTAGGTCTTGAGTAATTTCATGAGCTGGGTACAAACCTTTTTTTAACTTATGAGATGAACATGCATGATTCTAGCAGTATTGGGAGCCCAAGATAAGTGTCCCCAAGATGACAAAGTATCAAACACATTTAATGATGTTGAGGTCTTGGCTTTGTCCAGTTTTGGAGTTCTGGTGCAAATTTCCTTTTCTCAGTAATACTTACTGCATAGCTACACATGTTTTCAGACCCATAGTCTTGTCTTCTCACAGTGGAAGGATGGAGAGAAACAAGAGTGGAGTTTGATTTTTCTTCTATTTCTCAAACATGAAAGCTTTAAGTGCTGTTTATCTGATGGTGAAATTTTTCTTTTTCCATTCATTTTCCTCTGACTTTCCCTTTCCTGATGCAAGTGGACTATTTTATATCTAATCTCCTCGAAGATACCTCCTTTAGCCAATTTTACATACACGTGCGAAAGAAATGTACAAGACAGGTTAGGTGTTGTTTTGGTAGCTGCTTGTGTAAATGTTAGTCTCCCTTTCGGCTTTTGATGGGAGGACATGGCTGTAACTTGGTTTTAAGTATGCAGGGATGGAAGAGTTAAAGTGGCAGTAAAGTGCACAAAAGTGGACAAATGAAATACTAATAGGATTGATTTATTTAGTGTTGGAGGCTTCTGTGCAATTTTCTGTTAAATGTATGCTCCCTGCTTTTTTGAAAAATAAACAAGTTGTATTTAATAGCTGTTTTAACTGGAAATCAGCTAAACAAAAGGGTGGTCTCTGATGTTTGCCCAGTACCGTGGCTCATTTTTTTTTAGAGACTAACCTGTATATATGCTTCTGACAGTGTAATCATCTGTGGTAGGATGTCTGTCACCTGCAGGTCTTGAAGCTCATACCACTTCCCTGTACCCTGTGAAAAGAAACACTCTCAGCTGTCTACTGAACTCACCAAAAATACCAAGACAGGACAAATTTGATCACAAAGGGTTAAAATCCACTCACATGGTGCAGGACATGAATTCTGTATGCTCCCTCAGAAGGTTTCCCATCATGTACCACATTGGCCACTAAGTCATAGGTTGTGTTCTTCTCAGTAGCCTGGGCCTCTTCTGTGAGATACTCACGTAGGTCAACATTCCTGGGAAGGGCATGAAGTAAAAACAGAACATAAGAATAACAACTAATAATAAGCAATCACACATGCATTCAATCAAAAAAGCAATAGCCAAGCACACGGTTAACCCAATAAAATTTTGTGGACCTGTGTATTTGAATGTTTATGTTCTTTGCTATAATAATCAATAAATGGGACACTCACGTAATGGGAAAGTTCACAATGGTGGGATTCTTTTCAACGAAGAAGTTATTCTTGGTGAACCTTTTGATGCAGAAAATAAGGTAGGGTGGAAGTTTGGTTAACTGGAACCTTTTGAGGAAGTTCTCTTTGTACGTTTTGTACTCCTGTGGCAGAAAGTGGGAGAACACGGTTCCACATTAGCAATTCTAAATGCCAAGAAACAAGAAGGAACTTCACATTTTGTTGTCAACTGCCACAGCACATTGATGTTTCTGTGCTGGTTTCAAGGATGGTTACATGATTGTAATAGGAGGTAGGACAGGCTTATTCACATTGTGAAAGAATAAAAGAAAGAAAGACAGATCTCCAATTGCCACAACTTTTGTGAATATTATATGCCTCCTGCCCCTAAACAACATATCACAAGCTTTGAGAGAATATGTTTACCTTGTAATTTATTTTACATTTTAAAGGTAAACAGTGAACAAAGGTTGACAGTTATGAACCTTTTAATAACAGATTCATATTACAGTTTCTATCAAAAACATTGACATGCATTATACAAGAAAATATTTAAAAATGCAAAGGAAAACTGACAAACAACTAATTACATACATCAATTTCATGACATTCAGCAACAGTTGATCAAGATATAACAGTTGGTACCTTCTCTGTGTTGCCATTGAACTTTGCTAGAATGTTGAAGAGAGGAACCTGAGGAATAATTAGCTGTTCCTTTTCATCTTTGTACAGGGGTGCCGTAGGGAGGTCGAGGGTAAGGTACAGAAAGGTGGATTCCAGCATCTCTTCTTGATACTCCTCCTTCTGCAGCAATGCCTCTTTCTCCTCTGCAGGCTGCACGAAGAGGTGGTTTTCATTAGACATGAAGGATATGATTAAGGGCCAATTAATGGATTGACTGACCTTGCTTGTGTAGGTTTCTCCCACAACTTTGCTGAGTTAGAATCCGAACGACACTTATTTAGCAGGCTTTTTATTCTGTTGTTAATCTTACGATTTATTAAATAACTACTAAGAGTGAGCAATATGGGTAAAATAACATTATCATACTTGACATTTTTACAGGACACAATATACATCATGATATTTTTGTTTTTCTGCAGTTTGCAAACAAGTTGCAACAAACAAAACAGGAGCTTTGGTACAATGATTTTTTTATTAAACATTTGTAAAATAATTTAAGAAGGAAAAGAAGTCAAACATTTTGGTTTAAAAAATTAATTAGTATTTTGTGGATTTGAATCTGATCAACTACTTACTGTGCCATTTATCCAAGTGCTATAAATGGTTATTGTTGTTTACAGGCTCACTATATATATTTTTTTTAATGATACAAGCAGTTGTTCAGTGTTCTAGAGTACTGAAGATATGATTTACTCAGAAAAGCAAACTGTGGCATAATATATCATGATAATGACAACATATGGTAAAATTACATCCCTAATAACTACTATAAAACTGTAGGGATAAAAATCTGATCAGTACCAGCAGATAATTGGTTAGAAGAAATTACATGAATCGGACAGATGTTTAGATTTGACTAGTATAGCACTTGTAACCCCACAGGAAAAAATTAAAAATATATTATATTTGTTTTTAATATTAATCCAGGTAGATGCAGCTCCAAATTTGTTTTTACATTTTATGAATATTTATGTATCAGCATCGGCAGATATATAAATGAAAAATATTGGATATCAGCATCAGCCCACATCCCAAATCTACATCTTTCATGGAGGTCCACTTATAATATTTGTGTAGTTTTATGTAACAAAAATGGTCATAACTCATTATAAATTGTTTTTAAACTCCTCCTTATCTCTTTGAATTAAACAGGCTGTTTTTGTTACTGTGCCTTTAAGGCTGATGTAAATGTAAATATGTAAATGACCTCTGTCCTAACTGGCTACGTTGCATCATTTACAAAGCAGTTCAGCTTGAAACACTTAAATAACTTCATGATTTGTAAATAACTTGAAAATTTTTTGTAGTTTATTTTTTATATACACTATATGGGCAAAAGTACTTGGTCACAACCCTTAATCACTGAATTTAGGTGTTTTATTAAAATCCTACTGCCACAGGAGTATAAAATCAAGCACCTAGCCATGCAGTCTGCCTTTACATATGTTTGTAAAAGAATGGGTCATGCTAAAGAGCTCACTGAAATGAGTGTGGTACTGTAATAGGATGCCACCACTGCAACAAGTGAGTTTGGGAAATTTCTTCCCTCCTAGATACTACATGCTCAGCTGCATGTGGTATTACTGAAAAGCAAAAGTATTTAGGAACCACAGCAACGCCAAGTGGAAGACTACATAAAGTCACAGAGCAGGGTCACCGAGTGCTGAGGTGCATAGTGCATAAAATTAACCAAAGCTCTGCTGACTCAATAACTGAGTTCCAAACCTCCTCTGGTATTAACATCAGCACAAAAACTGTACACCCGGAGCCTCATGGCATTTGTTTCCATGGCTGAGCAGCTGCATGCAATACATCACCAAGCACAATTCAAACCGTCGGATGGGGTCGTGTAAAGCACATCACCACGAGACTCTGGAGTTGTGGAAACCTGTTCTGTGGAGAGACAAATCACGGTTCTCTATCTGGCAGTGTGAAGGATGAATCTAGGTTTGGCGAGGAGAACATTACCTGCCTGACTGCATTGTACCAACTGTAAAGTTTTGTGGAGGAAGGATAATGCTATGGGGTTGTCTGTCAGGAATTGGCCTAGGCCCCTTAGTTCAAGTGAAGGGAAATCTTAATACTTCAGCATACCAAGGCATTTTGGACATTTCTATGCTTCCAACTTTGTGGGAATAGTTTAGGGAAGGCCCTTTTCTGTTCCAGCATGACTGTGCCCCAGTGCACAAAGCAAGGTCCATAAAGGCATGGCTGGGTAAGTTTGGTATCCCTTTGGGATGAAATAGAACAGAAATTGCGAGCCAGGCCCTCTCATCCAACATCAGTGTCTGACCTCACAAATGCTCTTCTGGATGAATGGGCAAAAATTCGCACAGACACACTCCAAAATCTTGTAAAAAGCTTCCCAAAACAGTGGAAGTTATTACAGTTGCAAAGGGGGGGGGGCAACTCCAGATTCATGCCTATGGATTTAAAATGGGATGTCATAAAAGCTCCTGTAGGTGTAATGTGTAGGTGTCCCAATACTTTTGTCGATATAGTATATGTACTGTCTGGACTGAGGAATAAATAGTGTGTTTGCAACTAACTATGTTTAAATACTACAAACTCGGTTCCATGATAGAGGCCCTTTAAATGCAAACATTCTTCTAACAGTGCAGCAGTTGCAATGGGATTAGTTTACTAGTTAACTAACTAAACATCATACATGGCTGGCCGAACAACTAAATACAACTAAAGTCAAATCATTAAAACAATTACCACTCTTAAAAAACACTGGTTTGGCTGACATACCAAATCTGGGTGAGGGAGTTTCTTTGAGAAGATTCGCATGGACCCCTGGAACACTTTCGTAACAATTGCTGTAAAGTATAAAAAAAAACAAAAAAACATGCTTTTTGAAACATAAATTCTGTCATGAACACAAATATTGCACAAACAGAACTGATATTCAAACAAAATAAGTGCAACCTTATGTGTTGTAAAATAAACTACACAACTGATTTTGGTCGATTAAGGCAGTCCTTCAAGTTTTTTAGCATTCACAGTGCAACAAAAAAACTACATGGGTACCACACCTTTGCACAAAACTAACAGCACACAAAATCTGAAACACACAAACTTACATGGCTTTTTCTTAGTCCCACCTAGGGCTCCATGCAATGCATTGAGGAACCAAGAAAGAAAGTCCACAGCATCACCTACAGGGCAAAGAAAGCATGGCATCTCATTAACAAAGTAAAAAGCTTTGGTCCTGGATCTCCCTGTGGTACCAATACAATTACACAATTTCCTCCGAACTCCACATGTAATTCATCACCCAAGACATTTTTTGACGTTTGCTTCTTTAGTTTTGCACTGGAGCAGGGTCTCTGCACTAGGCAAAGGTAGGCAGCCTCCTAGGACCTCCCATGAAAATACAAATTAGATATACTGCACATAATGTACATAATACTAGTGTTAGTATGGATATAGAAAAGAGTAGTATAGATAAATGTTAGTATAGATATAGCAAACTATCTTATTATATTGGCAGATAATTTTGCTTGTTTGAACAATATTTAAGGCAAGCAAAATCATCTGCCAATATAGTGAGATAATTTCACTTAATAAAATTACTTAAGTTAAAGAAATCTATAAATAAATTAAATAATCCCATAATATTCTTACAGCAATCTCAAAATAAGAATGTCGATATATGTAATATTTATGTAAGATGATTTCAATTGATATCATTTTTTCAGTGTAGACGGTTGTGCCACTCGAGAGCACAGAGCTTTAAATAATTGTGCATCCAGTGTGCCCCATTCCTGTTTTTTGCCTAGAGGCCCATAATCACTAAATCCGCCCCTGTACAAGGTTAATGTAGCTAACAAGTAATGGAAACTTTTAAGGCCTCGGACCACACGCTTGCCATTAATGTAAATCTGTAATGTAAACGTAAGTTGTACAGTACCTTGCTTGGTGATCTGAAAAGTTTTCTTGCTGCAAAGCACCACTGCCTGCAGCATTTCATGCGGGGAGACATGAGCTTTGAAGTTGCGTGGGTTCCACAGTTTGCGCATGAGCTCACCAAAACGCTGCACTAGCAAAAACATGATGTCACCAGGCGGCCGACGGATTCCACGATAGTTCTCCTCCTCTAAGAAGTAGTTCCGCAGAGGCGGCACATTGGACAGAGCCTTATAAAAACATGCACAAAGGGTATGGGGTTTCAGTCCATGAAAAACACCACAAACAAAGAAAACATGGACAATAAAATAATAGCTATGGACCATCCACTACACTCAGCACTTCTCACACTTACTGGCAAAGACAACAAGCAACTGTAAGTAAACTCCTTGCCGTAACATACTGTCTACAATAGGTTTCAATTTTAAGTATCATTGTAAAAATAAATTAATCCTATTCACATGGTACTGTGCTAACAATAATCATATTTGAATAATAAGATAACCAGAGCAGTGGGAAGCTTTCACTTGTTTGCTCTCCACAAGCTCAGCAACAGTATATTTTAAATGTAGAAAATTACTGAGTCATTTTTTAAAATACTATATACGCCGACCAGCCATTTCATCAAGAACACCTTCTTGTTTCTACACACATTATCCATTTTATCAGCTCCACTGACCAAAATATGATATATAATATATAATATTGGTGCACTTCTAAAATCTGTTCCTTTGCATACTTTGTTAGCCCCCTTATACCCTGTGACCACTGATGAAAGACCCGAGGATGACTAACACACATTGTGCAGCAACAGATGAGCTATCATATCTGACTTTACATCTACAAGGTGGATCAACAAGGTAGAGGTATCTAACAGAGTGGACAGCGAGTGGACACAGTGTTTTTTAAAAGCCAGGCAGCACTGCTGTGGCTGATCCACTCGTACCAGCACAACACACACTAACGTCACTACTATGTGAATGTCACTGCAATGCTGAAAATGATCCACCATGTAATTATACCTGTTCTGTGGTGGTCCTGTAGGGGTCCTGACCCTTGAAAAACAGGGTGAAAGGGGGCTAATTCTTTTTTTTTACTTTTAAAGGCATTAAACTCTGTAGACATCTGGTTCCTATCACTACCACTGTGAAAAATTCTCTGCAAGTTTCTCTAGAATGGAGTACTTCCCAAACCACTCTGAATGATGCTGTTTCCAACATTTCCAAGAATGAGGTGAATTTGTCATGCAGCCCACTGCAGCTGCCTATAAACAAGTGAAACATTAGAAATAGCAGCTTAAACAAAAGTTAGGATACCAAAAAAGGAAAAGTTTTTCTGTGACAGCTGCTGTCCTACATTTGAGGCTGACTGAAGTTACCAATGTGGCATACAAAGATTATATAAGGTTTCTGTTAGGAGGAGTTAGGATGTTTCTGTAAAACAGCACCTAGACTTAAATTATCAGCAAAATAACTGCATTGCAAAGATAAAACTAGGTTTCATTAAAGGGAAACATACAGTTTTGTGAAACTCTGTCAATATGTAATCTAAGCCAGAAACTTCAGTTGGTAGCTACCAACTAAGTACAAATCTCAGTAGTAGTTACCCTACAGTTATGAATCTACAGCTAATGCAGCAGGTTCTGTGTTTTTTTTTTCCCCCAGCCTAAATGTTGGACAGACATACCTGTAGAACTACATTGGCATAGTCATTGGCCTTGATATTATTGAGCCCCACAATTCCAGGCAGGTACGTTGTGCCATCATAGGCCCTGTACAGCTTCCCATGTTTATCCAACCCGGAGATGTGCTGTTTGGTAAACGTTGGCTTCAGCACATACTACAGACATAAAGGCAAAGACAAAGATTACACTTAAATGAAGGACAAAAAGTATACTGATAGCAGGAGGTCCCACAATACACTTTTTTGTATCATGCAAATATAAATGCTTGTAACATGGCCTCTTTGAAAGCCCATCTTCAAAGTGCTCCATTTTAATTTTGTGCAGATTCTGAGTATTTTTAGATCTCATCCTGTTCGCAATGCTACCAGATAGCCGAGCAGCATTTGTAGTTGAGATTTTGGAGGTGTGCTGCATATCATGACCTCTGTGAGCCTCAGCAAGCTACTGTTACCAATGCAAATATGTTTACGTACTTCTTTGCAGAAGCATAAATAAGCTAGATCTATTGTGATCAGGAAATTTTATCTGAAGATTAACTGCCATATAAATAACTGCAATTAATTTTTTTTTGTTCATTAGACACAACTATTAAAGTACAAGCATAAAGTGGCTGATTAGTGATTTAGCTACCTTGCTTCCTAGCTGTTGATGTCACAGTATGGGTCAGAAGTTAGAACTTTTGTTGTTTCCATAACAATGTGTTCAATGTGTTTCTTTAATGTTTTCTGTTTTCTTTGATTTACATTTGTTTTCCTCAACTTGACCTAATTCACAGTGGCCCTTATTCATCAAAGTTGCATGAAAAACACAGTTTTGACATATGAACCATTCTATGCCTGATTTATGAATCGTTCTTACAATGTGGAAACAAGCAGCAATTTGAGTACAAATGATGAATAAAAGTGAATAAAACTACATCGTTCAGCTCCTTGTGAGCCAATGGCTGTGCTTTTACGTGCAGTTTCAGGTCCCGCTACAGACCAACCTTTAGTGTTAAAATTACGATGAGTTGGAAGAATAAAATGTGAAAAATAAAACATCTTATTTTTAGGATAGTAGAATGATGTGATAGTTTAATGTGATTATTTTCCTAAAATAACATATTTGCTGTATTATTGCATTGTTTCAGTTGGCTTCCGCAATAAGTGTGTTTTGTTTATTTTTTGGGCAGTGTCAGTAGTACAATACAAAAGCACATTGTAATATGCTATTAAATGGAACATGAAATACTTGCAGCATTTGTATATATGTATACATGCATGTATAAACAGTATGTCCAATTTGGTACAATGTGCAGAAAATATTAGTACTATTGTTATTTCCAGTTTTACCCTTATTACTGGAATTATACATCACACTGATAATAGTTTTGGTTAGTTAACCACAATTCAAGCATTTTTTCTGGTTGTCAAACTTTTACTATCAAGTTTACACACACTTATACCAGACATGAGTTTCATCACACAGATACAGCAAAAATTAAACAGGGGAATAATAAAATATTCAGTGAAATTTGTGTGCACTCAGACTTCACCGTACACAACTTACAACTATGGAAAATCATTTCGATCAGGCAATTATGTAATAATTGTGACAGGCTGGTGGCTTACAGTGGCCTTAAAATGTCTAATCTTATATCTGAGTGACTGGAACAATGGTGCTAAATACAATCGCACTCAGCAATCCATCCAAACATAACTGCAGTCTTTACTGCTATTAAACATTTTTCAGGGCATGTGCCATGGTACTTTTAAATGTTCTGCTCTTATGTAAAATCCCATTCAAACCACATATGCCTTTAATATGTTGAATGTTCGTGATACTCAGTATACAACTGATTGATTAAATGAACCATGTAAGATTTGTTTTGATATTATTTCTGTAGCAATGTTACTCTCATTGGTTTCATCTCTACCCACCGTGATGTCCTCGAGTGATGAATCAATGACCTCGTAGTTGTCTGGCAGACAGTAGAACTTGAGTGTGTGGAGATTCAGGAAGACATGATGTGTGAACTGAACACTATGGGTGTAAGCATGAGACTTCAGACCTCTTCCTAAAACATTCACACACACAAATTGTATTTGGTATTAGCATCAGTGTATATGGCACGGACTGACATTAAAAGAACAAATTTTGAAGTAGTAAAACCAGCTGCTGCTGTTTTTTGACCCCAGTGTCTAATATTGTCTTTTCCTTAAACAACAGCTGAACCATCTTTTAAAACATGAGATGCTGCTAACTGGTCTAAAATGGAATGTCTAAGTGCCAGAAAGAAATTATAGAGAAAATGAACTCTAACTAATAACTTTCAATGAGGATTGCAGTAGTATAGTTTGTTTCCTGTATGGTTCATTGTCAAGGCATTGATAGTGCATTTTATGCAAAGGTGCTTACCTTGAAAATACTTCCCACAGATGAGACAAGCATAGACATTAATGTGGGAGAGAGATATTGAGCACAGTTTCTCAAAGTCAAAGTCCAAAACACTCCTGAATAAAAGAAGGAAAAAACAGCAGAACTTTACTTTGACTTCACATATGACTTGACACATTCATTCTGATTAATCATCAATAAATATAATCTGTTCCAACCTATTGATTGTGTCAAGGTATGGACAGTGTCGGCTTCTTCTGTCTTCAGTGTCCTGAGAACGAGCCACTTTCCCCCGCACCACTTGGAAGCCGACATTAGTAAATTAGTAAAACCAAAAGTCAGATGTACAGCATAAAAACAGGCATTTACTCCGATTTGGGTAGTGAATAATGTGTATTTACTTAGGGAAAATATAGTAATTCACTGCCAGCTAATCACTATATAGTAATTGTAATGTTAAAAGTATACATACACAGAAAGCCTCTTTGAAATGAATAGTCATCAATATGTCCTTCTTTAGTTGTGTACTAGATCGATGATGCTAAAGAAGCTAGCAAGTAATAAAAAACGTTTACTCTACCAATTAGCATTGTGCAAATGTGCATGCCTAGATCTTTACATACTTGCCTCAAAACCATGTAAAGCTGTTAAATAACCAAATACACTTCTGAATTGGCGACTTAATAATGTAAACTGGTGGCAACTAGCTTCCATTCATTGTAAGTATTGTAACATTACATATTAACAATCCATCCAACTGATCTATTCTATAGATAATATCATAACCAAGGATCAAATATTGATATGGCTTATTACTAGTAATATAAGATCACAGAAATCAAGAGTTAAGACTCTGCATAAATTTGTTTACATTTCAATGGCTGAATTCTGCAGAAAATAAAATAAAATCAGCAGGATTCCCACCGATTCATTAGACATAAGTAGGAAGTCTTACAAGACTACCTGGGTTCTTCCTTTTAGAGAGAGAATTGGTTTATTCCATTTGCAGATTGCTGAAAATGATTTTCAGTGAAAATGAAAATTTAAGTCTAGACTCGAATTCAGTGGGTACTTTGCACAGTCCTCTTACAGCAATTATATTCACATGGTTTTATATACAGATTCCTGTGATTAATTAGTTCAGGATCACAGTTAAATTTCTCAAGATGATAACGTTGATTGGTTGGGTTGCCTTTACGTTAATTAAGGTATATGCAGTTAAATGGAGTTACAGAGATGATGGATCTGACATGATAATAAAAGCTAGTTAACGTTAGTTGTAATAGCTAGCTAGGTTAGCTAGCTATGTTAGCTAGCTAGATTGCTAAGCAACACACTGAAAATGTCTAGCTGCCAAATTACCGTTGCTTCCGATGTGCTCAACAGCAAAAAATAAAAGCTCTTAAAAATAGTTCTTATATTGTTATGAAGCTAGTTTGAAATGAATCCAACTCGCACTCAGCCGGCTAGAACTACAAACTGAAACGTGCACTACAACACTGCTTAGCTAGTTAGCTAGCCACAATTTTTTTCTTGCTGGCCAACTGAATCATCTTTGCAATTTAGAAAAGCTATCCCCATATTACCTTCCTCCTCATCATCATCGATATCCCGCTCTCGTTTCAAATTTGCCATACTTTTCTGGTTTATTCCCTCGAACTGCAGAGCTGCAGGGCTTACGCCATTCACTCTTTCCGAACGAAACTCAAATTCCCGGCAACATTCGCGAGAGAAAACAGGAAGGAAGACAACACAGTATCCCAGGGCCATAGTGATGAAGTCCTGAGCACGAGTGTAGACAGTAATGTAGAGGTAAAAAAAATACAGATATAATATTCTGTTTCCTAGAAGAATATTACAGGATGACAAAGTAATAATATTTCATGTTTAATTAATAAGTGCGACTGAATTAAAAATGCAAATAATTATAGGGTGTCTACTGTAGGTGGCAGTACACGCCATACACAGTTCAGAGAGTCTTAAACCTAAAAGAAGAAGAGGATGCCGTCAATAAGAGATTTGTGTATGTTAGAAAATCGTTTGTTTAGTTGGTTATAGCTCTGAAACATGGAGATTTGGCAGAATGCCGAGGCTGAAACTCTCAAGTATAAGCCGGGGGGTCGTTTGGACATGAATCATGGTTTCCTGCACCACATTCGGAGAAACCAAATCGCCAGGTACGGGCTAGCTAGTTAGCTAACAGGTTAGCTAGCCATGGGAACACACTGCCTAACGGCTAGGGTAATTTTATACGGGGTCCTCTTTCATTAGTGACTACAATGTGTTGGCTTAATATCATCCAAACGTTTGCAAACACTATTTAACCAAAGTTTAGCTCATCTTGATTAAGTTAATGACAACTTCTAGGCCTGTTCATCGACGCTGTATGTTAGAAGTTACATTGCTGTGAAACAACTGTTTATAATTGCTTACTGTCCTTTTAAAGGGATGATTATGACAAAGAGGTGAAACAGGCGAAGGAACGGCAGAAACGCAGACACACAGCGACCCCGCGGCGCCCACGAAGACCAGACCGAGAGGTGTACCATCCTCGCCATCGAAGTAGGAGACAGAACACTTTATTGGTTTTTTCGTTTTTTAATATTATTGTATTTTTATAAATTTTACCTTTTTATATTTTACTTTTATTGTCACTTTTTAAATTACACAGTAGGTATATAGCTGTTGGTGCTGGGAGATGTTGACAAAATCCAATATCATGGTATTTCAAAAAGTTTGCATTATTAACTTTCATGAACTCAGGCTTCCAGAGTACTGCTACTCAATACATAGCTTGTTTTTATTTGCTCTGTTTTTGTTGTTTTTTCCAGTTTCACCAAAATATCTGATCACAGTACTGTAAACTAAATTTACAGAAGAAATACTATTTATTTAGGTATTTTGAAGTACATAGCATACAATGTCAGCTGTGAAGAGCACAAAATACAATTTTGGAAAGGGCAAAAAGCAGGCTGATTTATGGAACTGAATGTTATTATAGAGAAATTAACATTTTTTGATCAGTATTGCTAAAACTAAAGATCAATATCACCAGTGTGGCACACAATCAATATTGATGATATTTTGTCCAGCACTATGTGTACTACTCTGAGTGGTGGTCCGCTCTTGACACTGACGTGTAAAATACCCATGAGTACCACTGTGCCTGATACACTCGTAACACACTAAGCACTACACACAGCAGTATGCCAGTACCATCTCAGTATTACTTCGCTGTTTAGAATGGTCTGTCACCTAAATAATGTCTGGTCCACAGTAGTCCTGTGGTCAGAAACTCACCAATAATAAATGGGGTACAAATTGTGTATGACAGCTAAAATGAGAGTAGAAGGCCACCAGTTATACTATATAAATATTTATGGAGTTAAACAATGAGTTATACTATATAAATATTTATGGAGTTAAACAAGCTGAGGTTTTTATCACTTAGTTCAAATTGTTAAAAATGTTAAAATGATACTAAAATTGAAACATTCAGCAAAGTCTGAATAAAAAAAAGCTATATAATAAAACATGGCTTAAAACACTAATTGGACCTATCTGAGAACTGTCCGTTGAGCACACGTGATTAACATACCTCAGTCGGTTTGACACACTCTCAATGTGCTATGCCACTGAAGCAGAACTAAACGGTGCAAGACGTGAAAAGTGCCGAAACAAGCTCTATATGTGTTGACTCATTGTACATGACTAATAATAATAATAAAAAAAAAAACAGTTATCTAGCTTTTATATGGCAATGTCTAAAAGAAGGTAAAGTATTCATTTTTGGATGTGTATACAGGGACTGCTGTTGTGTACAGTTGACCAAAAAATGAATGGACAGATGAATGAACAGACAGCAGGAAGATAGATGAGTTATCTTGACTGCTCAGTTATGCTTTCTGGGTTAGATTTTGCTGGTCACTTGCTCTCTCTCTAAATTTTTCTGACTCAAACGCATTATATTGGACATTGGAATGTTATTTACTTGTACTTTGCATGTGTATATTGTCTGCTCACAAGAGAAAGATTAACCTACTTAGAAAGATAACATGGATGTAGGATCCCTTAAGCTTTAAATGTTGTGTGATGTCACCGGCCATGCTATCTGGTCTGACTCTCCACGTCTTGGTTTTGAGAGGTTATCAGTAATATTTTGTCTCTGCGAATGCTTGATTCCAGATGGCTCTGAGCCCGGGGCTGGTGTGGAAATTGAAGAATGGAACGAGAGCAGCTCCAGTACAGAGCAAGAGAGCACAGGAAGCAAACTGTTCTGGCTTGACTACCAAGCCGACAACGGCCATGTAACATCATTCATTGTATACAAGGTACACAGTGAGTCACTCTTTGTTGAAGTGGCTTGTTGTATAATTAGTTTCTAGTTTGAAATGTTAAAAACTTGAAGTTTTTTTTCACTCTGCATCAGTGTGTCTCAGTTCCAGTCTTGGATTGCTACCTGCACTGCACTATTTTTCCCTGTAGCAAATGCAAAGAGACAAAAAAAATAATAGACTTCATTTGGAACTTCTGGACTTACTGGAAGTAAAAATGTACTGATATTAAACAACCTCTTGAGCACTTTCCATTTTTCTATGAGAAATTGGTGGATCAGCAAAAGTAGCATTAGACTAGTGTTTTCTAAAAGCTATGAGTTGTAAAGCTTGTTGTACTATGGTAGAGAGTAGATGTCTTCACCAATGTGCTTTAACATTGAGCCAAGGTCTAGCAAACATAATTTCTAATTTTGCAAAGAAATCAAGAAAATTATTAATTCATTACATCTGTCAATGGGACAGGCTGTTCAAGTAAGCCACAAAAAGCTTGCTGCTGTTGGAACAAAACCTTCTGTCTCCAAAAAGGTAACTTAACAGGAGAAGTAAAAAACATTCCAACTTTTAATGGAAGTAAATGGAAAAATTATTTTTTCCCAAGTAATTTTGGACCATTTCTGATGGTCTGTTCATCATGAAATTAAATGAAAAATGACAAAAACTGAGATATGAGGTTTTGTCCCGGCAGCAGCAAGCTAGATATCTCAGTAACAAGTTTTGCTATGAAGCTACAAGGCTGAATTAGCTAACAAGTAATGGAACCATGATGAATTCTTAATCTCGCATAGACTTTCCTAATCTCATAGACTCACAGTTTGACATGCTGTTTATGAGTATAATAATGGATAAAAGTGCAGACAAAATTCAGATTTTTTTTTAAATAGTTTACAGCTATGCAACTTGTCTTTTTTTAAATCACTCATTGCTTGTTGTCTGTTTTATGTTTTCGTTGCACTCTATTCACTTATTTTCATATTTTATTTTCCTGTTCTTCTCAGGAGGATGATCCAGAGAGTGTGGTTGAACGTGTGGAGGAAAAGAACGTTTTAGACTCGGCTATGAGGACGGTGCTGTTGGCACGAATCGGACAAGAAATCGATAAGCGTCGTGACAAACGCTGAGGTTTTAAAGGGAAGCCATGATGGATTGGAATAAAGACTGGTAAAGTCTGAGGAGCATTCACACCACTGAGCGTGACTTGTGTTGATGGTGCAGTTGAGTAGGATAGCACTGAGATTGCAGCATTAGATGTTTCATGCTGCCATTATTCAGCCTGCCGTGAGACAGCCTCTCACTTTGGATGTGTTTATGCTCAAATCCAAAGAGAAAATGAAATTATACAATGAAAATGGGCACCTCTGTCTGTAATGTAGAGATAATCTCATGTCTTACATGAGATGAGTTGTGATGGGAAACACTCTCAAAACAGTCAGTGGTTGGCAGAAAGGATCTCCGGGCAAAAATGAAACCTCACTAGCACTCCAAAAAGCAGTCTCATCTCAACCAATTGAGGGCCTGCAGAATGAGTATGAAACCTTGTTCTTATGCAGTTAATCATCATGACTGAAAATAACTGGATATATACAACATTTTGTACAATTTATTGGACACAACAGGGGACAGTCTATGTTTGAAGTAATGTCTAGATCAGTATCAGATGCAAAAAAAGGAATCTAATGGTTTTTAAATAACAGTAGTTACAGGTCTAAACTCATGAAGCTGTCATGTAGTGAATACAATTTCTCACCATAGAAGAATAGTTCAGCAGAAAAGGAAATAGACACAGTTTTCCCCTTGCCCCTAATGCAATCTATCAGCCAAGACATGTTTCATGTCAGAAGTTTCTTTCTTTAGCTTTATGATGCTGGTGAGGTGAGATTCAACAAGCCTCATAGCTTCAGTGCAGAATTACAGAGGAAAAGGAAAAAATGTGTAGACTTTTTTGATGAACTATTGCTTTAATGTTCCAAAAAATAACTGTCTTACGTCAGAAAAAATATAAAATGGTTGGGAGGCCTGATCAGTCCATTGTAATTGTATGGATGATATTTGTTTCACTAAAGATATCACTTTAGTTTAATGGTGAGTTTAATGGGAATAAATTTGACTGGACAACTTCGATAGCATAATACTTTTTCTTTTTCATCATGTCTTCTTTTGGCTGTATGAAGAGTTTTTTTTTATTTTTGTAACCATGTTCTCTGTACAAAAAAGACATAAAGGATGCTGAAGAATCATGTCTGTGGTGGTTTGTTCCTGTATTGTTTGGTGTATTCTTTTTTTTCTGCTCAGTTATGACTGTGAATTTAGAGACATGATTAATTTACTGGTATTGTCAGGGAGTGAAAAGCTACATGCCTGTGCAGTGTTCAATCTTGTGGATAACCCTTAACTGTATAACTTAAGCCTAAAGTTGAGGATTGTCCAATTAGCTATTTTCCTTAGCCCTTCTCCTTTTGGACATTTTTGTTTTTTGGCCTAAGTTATCAGGATCCTAAAAGTAAGGATAGCAAAGCAACATCACAATTGTTTTGTCCTAAGTGTGACGTATACCAAGAGAACTGTACAGGCCTGAACGTTCGGCCGCTACAGTGATGTAAGCATGCTATGGCCTTTGTAGTCACCAGATCTCAACCCAGTTAAACCTGGGGAGGATTTTCGACCACCGTGTTAGCGCTTTTCACCACCGTCATCAAAACACCAACTGAGTCAGAATCCTTTGGAGGAATGCTGTTTCATCTCTCCAGTACAGTTACAGAGACAAGTACAAAGTGCGAGAGTGGCTGGTGGTAGACTTACTACGACATTTTATGTTGTCTTTACCTTTAATTTTTTTGCCTATCTTCATATGTACAATACTTCAGGACCTCAGATCGCCTAGGCATACACCTATGTTATATTATGTAGCTAAGATTCTTGTACTGTCGTTTTAGGGAGAAAACAAGCCCACCCCCTTGGCATTAGGTACTCCAGTGAGATACTTTAAAAGGGGAGATGAGCTGTCGATTTAATAGAAATGTAAATCTTGGTGAAGTCTTGATCTCTGCACACATTCAGAGCTTCATAGTTGTGAATCCTGAGCTTAATAAATCCTGTCTAGCGGCAAGTATTGTTGCATAGAAACAGTATGGAGGTCGTACTCCAGGGGGCAGCATTTACTGCTTTTAATTAATCAGACTCAGAGTTGGTCTTTGGAATATACAGCGCTTCTCAGTCACAGTCCCAACTGTTCAGTTCTGTGCACGTTTTACTGATCTGCTGCTGTAAGTCAGCTGACCCAGTCTGTGAAGGCTCTGATAATTAGCTAATGAGTCCAGTCAGGTCTGTATTAGCTAGCGTTTCATTAAATCAGGTAAGCACGACCTAATCAAGAGATCGCAGGACTCAAACTGGAAAGCCTGAAATGCGACGAATTAAGAAATATTCTGCAACGAGTCTTTTGTGGCCCTTTAGGATACGGTACGATTGTTAATCTGTGATTCAACTCACACCCACCCCCTATTTTATCTCCTCTTCATGTAATCCTCACAGTGGGAGCGAACGAAAGCGCACATTCCCATATTCCTATCAGAGCCGTATAGAGAGAAAGTTGGGTCAGCTCCGTTCACTCCAATGGACCATTTTTTTACAGCAATGGCGGATCATGGAGCCCCTCAATAGTTCCCGGAAGTTAGCAACAAATACTGGCAGCGCGGCCGAGTTGCAGCAGAATAGACCGGTTATGATGCACTTTAAAAGGGTAAAACAATTAACTAAAGAATCAGATTGTATATAATAAGCACATCTGAGTCAAATTAACATGTATATTAAAGTATATCAGTGGATTATCCCCGATTAAATTAGTAGATTTAAGGAACATTAACAGATAACAGATTAGGTTAGGGTACTGAGTAAAGTTAGGAACTCATAATGTTAACCATAAACAGCCTAGTAATTGTAAAATCTCTGCTCTTAATGTCATTTCATCCACCGTTGTTGAATCTTGAAAGGCTTCTAAACGTGATTTTTCACGGGGTGGATGGGAGTTAAATATTAGTTAAATATAACATTGGGGCAGAGCTTGTAGAGGGGAGGAGGTGGGGGAGATAAAATGAGAATATCGTTATCTATTTTGGAGTACGAGCTAATGTAAGTTACACAATAAAAAGAAAGCTATTTTCATGATACGTCACTACTGATACGGATTTAGAGTGCATATTAGAGACTTTTTAAAGAGTAAACAAATATAAGACTTATGGATTGAGTGTTTGCAGACTTTGTGATTCTGTTGACTGTTATCTGTACATTATGTTGCAGTTAAGTTGATTTTGGATTAATGGCAAGAACCACGGGGGGAATCAACTCAGCCTAAAGACTCCCTACAATAAGACAGCGCCCCCACCCTGCACCCTGAGTCTCAACTCCCTGGGTTTTGCAATTCTTTGCCTGTTCCTTATTTTTAATAAATAAAACGTTAAGCCTCACAGTGGTGTGGCTTTTGTTTGTGAAACGTATGCAATGTCACGTTGTTGTTGTAATCTTTAGTGATGGTAAGTAATTTAGTAATTGCTCCTGCTGACTTGAGCCAGCAGTTTTTTCTTCTCTCTGTGTCAGTGGAGAAACCAAACATTTCACTCCTTTCTCCGAGCGACTGAAGCATCTCCATGCAGCAGAGCAAACCATGGTGGGGACTATATGCAAGGACAACATAGAGAAAAGGGCACAGACAAACTGCCTGCCAGGCTATTCATGTTTGAGTTCGTTATAGCTTTATTTAATTAATCTATCGCAGTAAATACGTGCATAGTAAAAAGACAAGATATATGAAATGTGTTTATATGTGTACAAACAAATATAAATAGATGTGTTTATTATGTCCTGTCTGGATGTGATGTATTTTAATGTACGCTTTTTAATACAGATTTTTTCATATGCAAGCCAAACAAATTTCTTTGGTTCCTTCTCCTTTTGTCCTTTCGGAAAGTCATAGAGTTTACAGTGGTCATCAAGTCATTAAAATTATCTAGGCCTTGGGATTACTGAAACAACCATTAATTAAAGATGTAAATTATATTTATTTATGTTGAAAATTAATCTGATCTCAATTTTGAAACATTCCTTCCCCTCCCTCCAAGTATATCAATAAACATTATGACTGATCTTAACTACCATACAAGTTTAAGAACATAATATCTTTAATACTGAAAAGTCAAAGCAATGAAACAACGAAAACACACTTTGAAACCATGTTCACATTAACCTAACATGTCAACAAGGCAGGTAACGACAGCTGTTTAATCCTCAAATAGTAGCGAATTTGACTTTAAAATATATTATATTGTTGTAACTACACACACACACGTTGGTTTTCTAGAGAAATACTGTAAATCAGTGCATTTATTCACTTTAAAGTACCGAAAGACGCAGTTCTGTCGCTGAGTGTTTATGGGTTTAAATTGCCCGCAAAGAACTTCCTGGAACTATCTGAAGTCTACACGAATCACGTGACCATCAAGCATTTTGAACTTCCGTAGACGCTACTCTCTCTGTATACGGCTCTGATTCCTGTGCACCTAGGCTCCACCTACATAGCATCTGAGTCCTCTGATTGGACGTACAAAAACCCTGGTCTGACATTTTTCAACCAGTCACACACCCTACAATGTGCATGGTGGTCCTTGAGACTTTATCTGAAGCTTTTCTACTTCGTAAGTCCATTAGCATACAGGTCAGGAGGCTGAGAACAGTGAAACCGAGGCCCCTTTCTCTTTCTCTGATTCTGTTGATTGAACTTTGATAACTGACTCTGTTAGTGGAGCAAGGTATCGATTCCCTGAACAAGCATTCCAAAAAGACTACTACTATAATACATGTACCCTTCCCACAAAAGGCTACACCTCCCTAAAGCTCTGCCAAGTGAAAGGCATGCTATCCACTGGTGCTGACCATGGCTTCTAGACATGAGAGGTTCAGAAAAGGTCTTGATTCTTTTGACACTGCCTTTACTGTGTATTGAATCCTCAGGATTTTGAGCCCTGTATTTTCCTGTTTTCTCATAAACCCAAGCACTGGTTTTACTACTAAATTATTTTTCTTGTATGTAAAATACTTTCGGCAGGCTGGTAAAATATTGGGAAAATGTTGCAAAAGTGCAGCTTCAAGTCTTTACGGTTATGGAATTCCATCGAATTTCCATCCAGTAACAGTGATATCAAAACAGTGCTTCATTAAAATTACTAAAGTCACATAATGCAAAAGCAAAAACATGTTAAAAATGAGACGTTTGACTCTGACTTTGATTGCATTCTAGCATACTATTCAGTTTCCAGGAGATTCTATTGGTTAGGACAAAATTAATTCAAAAACAGGTCAAAATACAAACAGTATTAAAAAGGTATACACCACCTTCTTGAGTGAAGAAAATGTTTGTAAAAAAAAAAAAATTAAGAATAAAGAAAAAAAGTTTAAGGTAGAAATTTATTCAATCCATAATAAATAGCCTAGGTGAGAGCTGTATCCAGTTATTACAAAAATGTAGGGATTTGTATTAGTAATCCACATGAAAGCATATGTTTGTTTAGTTCTTCAAATATGACTTAAAAAGGAGGAGTGAGTCATGAGCATGGAGAGGATTAAAAGGCTAAATTTATATATTTTTTTATATCAGTACACTTGGGTGGTTTTATGTATCAAAAATGCAAATAATGTTTATATGACCATTTTCCACCCTTTTTATCCCTTTACCTTTAAACAGAGTATTTTTTTATTACTGTGCCTTTAAGATTAATAAGTGTACGTAAACGAGCTCTGTTCTGAGTAGCTGTCATGTATTGTGCTTTGTTAAAAAAACAGTTTGTGCTGAAATGTGGAACTGTTAAATTCAGAACAAGATCATCAGGAATGTAGGAATAAATATTAGTCTCTCCTTTCGGATACGTGAATCTTTAGAAGACTGCAGCGATGAATGTGGCAAGAACAGCACAACACTGAATTGGCTTCACTTCATCCTCCACACCAGTAACTTAGCTACAGACTGTCTGCATACCAACACTCAACATCACTTCTACTTGAATGGACAGCTAACTTTCTTTAGGCTAAATAGGTGGGTGGTCACATGTAAATATGTTTGTGGTGGTGACAATTCAGTATGGGTTGTTTTTGCAGCTTAACTGCTACTTTAACAATAGTACATCAAACTGTTTTATTTCAAAAGCATAAAAAATTCGCTTTTTGCCATGATATGTGCCATTTAATGATA